CGTCCAAACTCTGACTGTCCGCAGGTAGCTATCGGCGGAGGGTCTGGGTGCTGGGGTGGAGGCAGTGCCACTGGCAGCATGTGCTGTGCGGCCAGAGCCCAGGTACACCCTGACACTGCCACCCCTCAGAGGGCCTCCAAGGGCACGCTGTGAAGCAGGGCTAACAACCCTGCCTGGGAGCTGGGAACCTGTGGGGGGAGGAAGTGATAGGAATCTGAGTCAAAGAGCGCTCAGGGTTGTTTGGGGAAGGGGACACAGTCACTACAGTTGAGGTCAAGCTGTTTTTACACTGAGCATTGAAGGACTTCACTGACAATGCCTGTCCTTGATGTGTGGTGGTTGGGTCACCAGTTGGCATAAAATCATTTTCAAACACTCTCTTCCGGAGTCCTCACACTGAGCCTCTGCAACTTACCCACTGCAGGGTTTGCAGCTTGACACCATGACAGAACCCAAGCTAACTCTGTCGTGAGGAAGGAAGGCTTGCTGTGGCTCGTGGTTCAGGTGGTTCCAGTTTGTGGTACAGTGGCTCCACTACTTTGGCCTATGGTGAGGCAGCACATTTTGTGGAATGGTGGAGCTGGGTGACTCACAGCTGGGAAGCAGATAGAGGAAGGGAAGAGATTGGGGTACCAGTTTTGCCCTGTAACCCAGAGACCTCACGTAGGCTCCATCTCCTACAAGCTTCACCCACCGACCAAGAGCTCCCAGCTGGAACCAGGCCTTCAGCACTTAGCTTCGGGATGTGCTTAAGAGCTAAGCCACAGTGGTTGTCGTGGGATTTATTTTTTCCCTTTTTTATAGTGGCAAAATACATAAACCATAAGGCTTACCATCTTGACTATTTTTAAGTGAACAGTTTAGCAGCATTAAATACATTTACATGGCCACAGAAGCATCAGTCTTTCTCATTCTGCCTACTGAAACACACCCCATTCACCTAACTTGCCATTCCCACACCCACAGCTCCTGGCAGCAACCACTCAAGTGCTGGTCTGAAAACCTGACTCCTCTGCTCTTAGAAGTGCAATCATAGAGTGTTTATTCTTTTTCTGGTTGACTTTTTTCTGTGTATCATAATGTTCTCAAGCTTAGTCCATGTAGCCACCTGCATCCAACATCCTCCTTCTGGAGGCTGGTGCTCCAAGTGTGTACAGCCCTCATTTCGTCTCTGTTCACCCCTCAGCAGACAGTTCTCCACTGGAAGGGGTGGCTCCCAACTCTTAGCAACTGGGAATGATACTGCTGTGAATCCAGGTGTACATCCTTCTTTTCAGTTAGTTTGGGTACATACCCAAACATGGGCTTGGTGGATCCCATAGTTCCTCTGTCCACTGTTTTTAGGACCCACCGTCGTGTTCCCCACCATAGCACTGACACCATTTTGCATTCATACTGGTGCTGCCGCAGGGCTCCAGCTTTTCCAAATTCTTGCTGACATTCTTGTTATTTCCTGGAGCTTTCATTGTTTTTTAAATAGTTTTGGTATGAGATAAATATGAAAAGATACGTGTTACTTTGTTTGAAATCCTATTTCTGCAGATTTTTTTTATAATTTGTAGGTCTTCAGAGCCATCATTCAGTGACCTCCTTCACTCCCTGGCATCCCAAAACCAGAGCATGAACTGTCTCTCAAAGTCACATCTGTACAGCACCCATCTCTCACACAGGCCCAGCAGCCTTGCACGGGGCTGGGGTGCAGCTCTGCAGCATAGCCAGGTACCCGGGCACCCCAGGCAGGGCCCTCCACCCGAGCTGTCTTCCAAACCAGAACAATAGCAGCGCCTTCGCCTCCTCACACAGTCAACCTTAGAGATAAAAGGGCTTTGGAAACAGTGCAGTGAGAGCAAAACCTCTGAGTTTGTCAGGATAAAAAAAAAACCAAAAGAGAAAAGGGAGGGCGCTGCTTCTTGGTAACACGCGTGGGCGATTGCAAGTTAATAGAAACAAACTCAATTACGGAGGAGGCAGCTCTGCCATTTGCAACCACAGATTTGAAATCCTTTTAAAGCAAAATTAAAATATTTCACAGAGGATAATAAAATGCCAGGTGTTTTGCAGGCCTGACTGCTCGGCTCTCCAGGGCCAATAAGGAGTTAGGCATCTTTATTCGAGCCTCAGTATCATTGCTTTCTTTCACTAGTAGAAACTTCTGTGGAAAACACATAGAATTCTGAGAATCACCAGAAGGTTAATTATAAAACTGTATATGTTTGTGTGGGCATGTGTGCATGTGCTTTCTTTTATAAGTACAACATAGCAGTCTTACAGACTAAAGGAAGCTCTTAGAATGTGTTTTCCCAAGGGCCAAAAATGTGAGCTGGATCCACTCTTCTGCCTCCAAGTGAAGTCCACTAGAGACCTTAGCAGGCAAGTGCTGCAGGGTGCAGGCTGCTGAGACAGGGCTTCGCACAGCAGCCCCGGGAGCTGGGGAGATGTCCACACAGCCCAGCTACCTGCCCAGGGCCCTCCCTCTCCTTTGTGTTCTGCTGCCCCTCACCAGAATCTACCTCAAGGGAAGGGTGGGTTTCTCTCTCAGGTGGAAACTCTTCTCTAATGGGGAGCATATGCTTAAGTTCTGAGGTTTTTCCTTCCTGTGTATCTCAAGACTCATGGTTGCTGCATGTCATGGCTGGAGTCCACTTCCTGTGCCTGAGCCCTGCCTGCAGAAGAGCATGTGGGGCTCAGGCCATGTCCAGCTAGTGCTGGAGGACCTGCTTGCCCCCCGATAGTAGATCCACCTTCTTCCTGCCCAGCTGCTCTACTGAGCTATACGGACAAAGCAACCCTCAGGATGACGATCCAGAGCCTCTCTGTGCAAAGCTGATTTGAGACCCACCAGAAAAACACTATTAAGCAATGCATGCGTGGTATACACCTGTGATCCTAGTACTTAGGAGGCTGAAGCAGGAGGATCACAAGTACAAGCCCAGCCTAGATTTTAGCAGCTTAGTGAGGCACTGTCTCAAAGTTTAAAACTTTTTTAAAAGAGCAAAGGATATAGCTCAGTGATAACGTTTGGGTTCAATCTCCAGTACTGCAAAAACAAAAGCACTACTGAGGCAGAGGAACTTGAAGTGATTATTACTATTCATTCCTCTTCAGACTCTCTGGTGGTTTTTATTACTCCTGAAACCTCCTCCACCTGAGCAGCTGCATGTCACTTTTCAGTGATATGCATAGGTGTGTGCACACACGCAGGTCTACAAAGAAAATAAGCCTCCTTGCAAATCTGTACTACCCACAGCCAACTGCTGAGCCCACCCACAGTGCCCAGATGCAGGCACCGGGTATCATCTCCCTGCAGATGGGCCAACTGGCAAACAGATGGCAACCCTACTGTGTGCTTGGCTCTGCACAGTGCCCCCGGAGCCTACAGAGGACCAGAACACAAGGGAGGGGCCTAGGGGGGAATTTGCAAATACAGGAAATGTTTGGATTTGTCCTTAAAGAATGAGGAAGAGTTTGCCCTGCAAAGGAAGGAGGGTGCTCCTGGGAAGGAGCAGCAGAGACAAAGCACCTAGAGAAGTGACTGCTGCTGGGAGATGCAACCGGTGACTCACCGAGTCTCCCTGGCAGGAGCTGTCCCTAGAGGGCAGTCTGAAGCAGGTGCCAGAGTAGAGAGAAGATGAGGAAAGAGGGCCGAGGAGCGGGAAAGTCTGTTGTGTTTTTTCATATAGTGGAATCCATCTAACAAGGCAAGGGAGCAAACTGGAGCCATAAATGCAAATGAAGTTCACACAGTGTGGAGCAGGTAAAGCACCTTACAGAAGGATGTGTATGGCCTCCTGACACCAAACAGAATGGCTACACCACGTGATGCTGCCACTGCCTGACAGCTGGCACGCAGAGCAGCCAAAATCAAGATGGTCTGTCCACACCCCAGAACACTACTGAGAAACTGAAAGGAACACAGTGTCGACACACAGAACAGCTTGCCTAAATCTCAAGGGAACTATGCTGAGTGAAAAGGCCAAACCCCAGATTTTCACACTGACATCACAGGTATGCGACAGGCTTGAAATGACAGAAGTGCACTTGGGGTGTAGTGTGTGGTAGAGTGCCAGCCTAATGTGTGTGAGAGTCTGGGCTCCATCTCCAGCACTGCAAAAGGAAAAAAAAACAGTAAAGAAAGTGTCAAGTTGGGGGACAGATCATTAGTACCAGGACCAGGGAGGTTGGGAGCGCTGCCCAGGGGCCCTTGCAGTGAAGCGTCCTATCCTTCTTGATATCGGTGATAATCATGAAATTTGGACATGATGCCATCACAAAGAACTAGATGCACGCGTACGCGTACACACACACACACACACACACACACACACACACACGTGAGTTCACATAAAGCAGATAGGGTATGAAGGCATTTGGTGCTGTCAGACTCAACCTCCTGGCTGTGACCTCGTGCTGCAGTGGCACAGGAGGTCAACACGCGGGTCTGGCCCTGCACAAAGGCCTCTGAATTATTTTTTACTGCACAGGGATCTATAGTTACCTCAAAATTAGAACACATACATGGTAGTGGTTGGTCCTGAATTTTAAACAGAGGTCGATTCTAGATCAATCTTTGAGATAGAGGGTAAATCGTGTAGATGAGAAAAAATATACAGAGGACATTCATCTTTATCTGATGTTTGCTTAAAAAAGAAAAATCTGGAGCAAAGATAGCATAATGCCAAGATTCTATAACACAGATGGGGATACGCAGTGAGTGCACCATTCTCTCATTCATGTTTTTTGTTTTTGTTTTTGTTTTTGTTTTTGTTTTTGTTTTTGTTTTTTGGTACCCGGATCAAACTCTCGACCTCACAATTGCCGGGCAGGCGCTTGTGAGCTAAACCCCTGGCCTCATTCATGTTTCAAAGGAGTCATCAGTTTTGAAATGCTTATCTCACTTAGGACATCTGGCCTGCTCACTGGCCTGCAGAGGTTTAGGCCTGGGCAGGCACAGGCTGTGGGCCCAGCCTGCTGCTGTGAGACACCCCTGCCTCTCCCCACAGCCTCCAGAGAAGGAGGGCGCCCTGCCCCGGCAGGTGGGCAACAAGACGGAGTGTGGCCTGCTGGGCTTCGTGCTGGACCTGAAGCAGGACTATGAGCCCGTGCGCAGCCAGATGCCTGAGGAGAAGTTGTACAAAGTGTACACCTTCAATTCTGTGCGCAAGTCCATGAGCACCGTCATCAAGATGCCTGACGAGAGTTTCCGCATGTACAGCAAGGGCGCCTCCGAGATCGTGCTCAAGAAGTAGGTGGCTGGCAGTGCGCCAGCAGGGCCTGGGCTGGGCAGGGCAGTGGAGGGTTGAGTGCCATGGTGCCCATCATCCAGGCTCAGCCAGCTGTGCCCTTGGGCCAAAAGCCTCTAGCACCCAAGGGTACAGAGCAGGCCTCACCCAAGGCCACAGGGCAAGACCCACCTCCAGGGCCACTCACTGGTCTTTACACTGCACCCTCTGAGAAAGCTATGCAATCCCCCTTCCTCCTCCCTAAGTCTCTGCTTCCTCAGGATGCTCTGCCACAGCCACAGCTAAGACTTCTTTCCCTTAGCATACGGTTGGTTAATAGTATTTGTTCTCCTTATTAAGCAGGCTCTTCTAACTAGATGCTAGAAATAAGCCTGGGAAACTAAACAAGTCACTTCCCTTCTCTGGGCCTCCGTCTGCCCACCTGCATGTTGCAAGGCTCAGTCTAGACCAGGGGTCCTCATGCATTGGAATCACCAAAAGAGCATTTCAGAAACACTGATTTGGGCAGAGGGTGCAGATCAATAGCAGGACACGCCCCTAGCAATGTGTGAGGTCCTGGGTCCCAGCCCCAGTGCTGACAATTTGGCTCATGGATGTAAATCTAGAGACAACTTGAATTGGAATCTAGATATTAAAAATGTAGTTGTTTTATTATTATAAAATATTATTCCAGTGTACAGGCAGAGTCAGGAACCCCAAGCCTAGGCTTCCCGGCCTTTGCCACCATCTCAGCTGTGGCACTGCTGGAGCAGACAGAGCCTGTGAGCACAGCATATGACAGTCCTGAGGCACACAGGAGATGAGATAGCTGAGTGCTGGATGGCCACAGCGGCCAGCCAGAGGGACTCCGTGGTCCTCAGCCAGCCATTCCTTGTGTGCCTTTCTCCCTCCCCAGATGCTGCAAAATCCTCAGTGGGGCAGGGGAGCCCCGGGTCTTTCGGCCTCGAGACCGGGACGAGATGGTGAAGAAGGTGATAGAGCCCATGGCCTGCGACGGGCTGCGCACCATCTGCGTGGCCTACCGTGACTTCCCCAGCAGCCCCGAGCCTGACTGGGACAATGAAAACGACATTCTCAGTGACCTCACGTGCATCTGTGTGGTGGGCATCGAGGACCCTGTGCGGCCTGAGGTAGGGAAAGGTTGGTGGGCCTCAGCCTCTGGCACCACACAGTGCAGGACCTTCCACCTCCTTTCGTGTGTGTCCACCCATTAAGACCAGGTAGGCCGCATCTGGCTTGAGTGAGCACAGACAGACAGGACCACCTGGCCAGCAGGGTTTTGTTGTGAGACAGTGTGTGAGCTGTCCACCCAGCTAGCAGGGGCCCTGGCCTCTGTCCCCACGTGACAGGTGAGAGCCAACATGCCAGAGAGGCTCCTCACCCCACAGGAACCAGGGAATCTTGTAAAGGACACCTTTCTGTTCTAGAGCTCTTTCTAGAGCCTATTCTACAGAGGTGCTTGATAAGTGTTCATGGAATGAATGAACTAGAATTAATGCATTTGAAGCCCAGTCCAACACCATGTATTAACCTACCTCACACACGCACACACACACACACACACACACACACACAGGTCTCTGTAAAGGACACCCAGCCACAAGGACTGCTGTCCTTAGGAAAGCCCAGAGTACGGAGCCCCATCACTCTTGCCCCTTTCTCCACATACAGGTGTGCGATCAATTCCTATCCCACCTTGCGTGTGACACAGCTGGGCCTGTATCAGGTGTGCAGGTGCAGAGCTTGAAGTCAGCAATAGGTCCCGTTCTCTAGTGGAAGGGGCGTTACCAGGCTGGGGGTGGGGCGACACTAACAAGTGCTCGGCACACAGTGAGCCTTCTGCTCCTGTAGCTACATACATGTCCAGCAGAGGCCGGGACCATGGCTGGGTTGGAAGGATGAGGTATCATGGTCCCAAGACTACCTGAGTGGCTGGCCTGAGGGGAGAGGCACCTGCAGCCTGGCATCGACAAGATGGTGCTATGGGGCTGCTCCCAGAACTACCACAGCTGCTGTCCACACCTACTGCATCCAAGAACTGTGAGATCTGGTGCTAGCCTCCTTAGGATCCCTTTGACCTGCACTAACATCATTCTCTGGGGGCCACTGACCCTTCCCTATGCCCTCTCTCTCAGAGCCTCAGTTTCCCCTTTTTTAAAGTAAGATCAGATAGCCAGGCATGGAGGTACATGCTTGTAAAACCAGCACTCAGGAAGCTGAGGCAAGAGGATCTCACTGTGAGATCCAGACTGGGCTGCATAGAGAGAACCTGTCTCAAAAAACCAAAGAAGACAAAGAAATAGAGAAAGGGAGAGAAGAAGGGAGGAAAGAGCAAGGAGAGAGGAAAGAGGAGAGGACAGGAGAGGACAGGAGAGGGGAGGAGAGGAGAGGAGAGGAAAGGAGGGGAAGAGAGGGGAAGGGAGGGGAGGGGAGAGGAGAAGAGAGGAGAGGAGAGGTCAAGAGCTGCCCTCCAAGCTCCTGGCCCTACTGTTCTTGGATTCTACATTCCAAAGACAGGCACAGCAGGAGCTCACACATGTGGCCTCTCACAATTAAGCAGCAGAGCGCCAGACTTGGCTGTATGACAATGGCCTGGTTACACAACTCCTCTGGGCTTATGTTTAGACGGGGGACTATAATAGTACACACATATGCACATGGGTGTACACATACACAGGGATATTTTGCGGGGTCAGATCACACACATGAGCAATAAGCAGGGTGTCTGGCATGAGGTCAGTTCCCCATACAGGATCCCCTTGTTTCAGGCCGTCCCGAGTCAGCTCATTGCAGGAATCGGGGGTATCTAGCAGTCCCCAACACAGAGCCTGTTCTACAGAGGTGCTTGATAAGTGTTCATGGAATGAATGAACTAGAATTAATGCATTTGAAGCCCAGCCCAACACTATGTATTAACCTACCTCACACACACACACACACACACACACACACACACTCACAACACTCAGTGGGTCTCATTCAGCCTCCTCATTCTTACCAGAACCTGAAGCAGCAGAGACAATGAATGACTGGAGCCCATATACACCTACGGTCCTGAAGACCACAGCTCTCTGTGGCAGACAGGCTGTTTATCAGCCTCCCCAGGGAACACTGCCCATGACTGGCCACTAGTGGATGGACCCAGGCCTCACAGTGCTGCACACTACCTCCTTGCTGCAAGTCGCTGGGCCCTGGGGCTCCTGGCTCATTGCCTTGCCTAGGAGTGTCCCTGAGGGGGGTCCAACTTGAGGATAGAGCTGCCAGTCATATCCACGTCTGTCCTGAATCCCAAGTCTGCTGGGGAAGCTGTGAGGCTCACAGAAGGGCAGGGACATGTGCCCGCATCTCCCTCCCTGTAAGTAGCGGGCAAAGCCTGAGATCAGGCCACCTCCCTCCCCACTCCAGAGTCTTTCCCTGGCTGCCACATGAAGATGGTGCGAGGCATTATTTTTTTTTTATCGGTACCAAGGATCAAACTCACGACCACGCACTTGCAAGGCAGGTGCTTATGCCGCTGAGCTAAATCCCCAGCCCCGAGGCATTATTTTCAAAAAAGAAAGAGACTCCACATGTAGCAGCCCTGGGTATTTTCCGTGGCTAGTATGGTCATCCAAAAGAGTGACTATAGACAGAGCCTCTGGGAAGAGGCTTGGCTGCAAGCTCCAGTTTGCCCCCAGCAAGCCACTTCTCACAGCACCTCAGTCTTCCCATCTGCAAAAGGGGTCCCTCAGCTCCCTGCCTCTGCCTCTCAGACACGCGCACCCCATCTCACACTGCCATTCACTTGGTGTCCATAGAGAGAAGTCACAAACTACATTAGAGTGACTCACAGAGAGCCACAGCAGAGTTGGGGGCCAAGGCTCTAACTCTGGCCCTCCACTCCCTCACAATGGCCTCAGTTTCCCCATCTGACAAATGAAAGATTTGGCCCACCAACATCCACAGTTGTGGGCCACAGCAAGCTGTGGGGCAGCTACCTGAGGGTACATTCTCAGATGAATGCAGCACTGAGGAGACCAGAGGCTGGCTTTGTGTCTGTCTGCTTCTCGGATGAATAACTGTGCGTGCGTAGCCCTAGGGGCGCTTAGGAGCACAGAGCTTGCCACCCTCCAGTCTGAGCCCCTGCCCCCACCTCAGCAGCAGCTGCTGCCCATGTCATGGTGATTGTCCCTCCAGGAGTGTCGGTGCCTTGGTGGCAGTGGTAGGTTTGGGGGAGCTTTGTTCTGTGGTACCCGGATGGAACCTAGGAGTGTCCTATCCCTGAGCTGCACTTTGACATAGGCTCCACTAAGTCGCCCACACTGGCTGCAAACTTTCAACCCTCCTGCCAGCATCACTGGACTGATCCCTCTGGCTGCTAGTCAGGGTTCCCGCTCTCCGAGGCCTCCTCCCTTTCCACAGCACACTCCATCCCTGCCTTGGGGGTCCATCCGGTAGCACCAAACGCTCCTCCCTACTGTCTCAGTCCTGTCACCACCTCCATTTGGAGCACCTCCAGGCCCACAAACAGCTCAGATCCCACACATAGCGGCAGGAAAGCACTCTGCCTCCCTGGGCACCCCCACAGTGCTCCACGCTGCCTTCCACCCCAAGACACGGAGCCGGAAGTGGACCCCATGCACCGCCAGCCTGCCAAGTGTGTGGAGACCGTGCGGCCACAGCAGAGGGCAAGCACTAGAAACAACAGATATTTAAAAGTCTTTGTTTAATGAAAACAGGAAGCACACATTTTCTGGCTGTTTTTCCTCAGTGAGAAATATCTAGGATAATTTTAATGAAAGAAGCCATTTTTCAAAAAACAAACCAATGATTTTATTAGTAGAAGGTGTATTTCCAGCACACCAGTGCCCCTGGGGCTGCAGCCTTAATCCTGTCTGGGTCCTGTGCCCTGGGCAGTGGGATGAGTGGGTGCATGAGCAGGAAGCACAGAATCCCCACACGATCGCAGGGCGCACTGGGCACAGGGAGCGTCCGCACGTGGAGGGAAGGAGGGAGGGAGGACTCCGCAAGCAGCAGGACAGGGGGGTGAACAGTTTCCTTTCCACTGCGGTAACAAAATGCCTGAGGCAGTCCCTCTATATCTAGGACAGGACTGCTTTAACACGGGCATGATGGGCTGACTCCATGGCTTTGGACCTTGGTGACAGGTGAGGGAGCAGAGCAGCCCACAGCACTGGGAAGCTTAGGAAGCTTAGAAGAGAGAGGAGGCCTGTCCCTCCCCAAGGCTCCACCCCCACCCCCAGCCCTCAGGGAGCTGTGTGCCAAGCATGTGGTGCTGGGTCCTTTGAAACCCTCAAGACCCCAGCTGCCACAGATCCCCAAGATCTGAGACCCAGTGGATAGCCCTGTTGTACTTGTGAGACACAAGACTGCCCAGGAGCCTATCAGGAGGAGGCATGGTTCACAGGTTCTCCTGCCCTTGCTGCAGGTCAATGTCCTGGCCCCCATGTTATGGCCGAGGAGACCGAGGTTGGAAATAGACGCCAGCTCAGCTTTTTGGTCCCCAAGCCCTCTACCCCATGGCGGGGTAGGGGAGCAAAGTGCATGTCGGCCGGACCTCCTCACAGTGCTGGGTGCTGGGAGAAGCCCGGAGGGGACAGCCGTAGCTTCTGGAAACAGTTCCAAAAGCAGGGGACTCCCCCATTGATCCCAACGGGACCCCAGTGGCTCCCAGGACCTGAAGGGCCACCTTCTGTCCATAGGCCTCCAGCCCACATCTTCAGCCTCAGCCCTCTGGGTGGCCTGCAGCACGGCCCCAGGCTTTTCACATTTGGAGCCTTCTTTGCTTGTATGCCTCGTGGGTGGCTCTGCAGTCAGGACCACTCTTTGTTCATCTATGTGGCCCAACCTTGGCAAAACCTCCATTGCTTATGGAGCAGAACTGGCATACATAATCCCTCCTCCCTGATTTCTCCTCCCCACCTATTTCTTTACAAAGTATCTTTTCTCTGTGCTCCTAGAGCCTTTTACCAAAGACCTAAGGCTCTAGAGAAGAATACAGGTCTGATGCAGAGTAAACACTGCATTGTCTGAAAATAGAAAAGTCATAGAAGAGTAAGTTAAACTTGGTCTACCATGGAGTGGCCCCACTTTGGAGGGGGCAGGCACCCCATCTTTGGAGGTTAGCAAGCAGAGACTGGCCAGCCATTTGCTGGGGACACCTGGGAACAGAGGTGGGCAATGACAGAGGGTCAGAGCCAAATGATGCAAAGTGTGTTTCAACACCAAGGCTTTAAGCATGTTTGAAACATAACCTAAATTCCCCATGAGGATGGGAGCCAGACGAGTGCATTTCTGGAATAGCTCTGTCCTGTCTTCCACAACTGAGGTCAGAAGGGCATGAAGGGCATAAATGGGCAACGAGCATCCACGTCCCCTCTCCCACCCTCTCCGGGGACTTCTGTGAGCTGGTGTGGCGCCCAGGCCTGAGACACTGCAGGGCTCTGCCTGGACCTTGGAAATAACTCAGAGGAGCCTGCAGCCCTCTGGCCCTGCTGCAGTCCTTCAGCCACTCCCTCCTGCACGAGGCTATCCCTTAGACAAGCCTCTGCAGAGGTCTCCGTCCCCAGACCAGGAGCTGTCTTGGGGCGTGTGTCCCTCCCTCAGCTGCAGAATGGTCATGCACGGAGGTTTGAGTTTTCTCTCAAGCACCAGGTTAAAGTCCCTGAAGCAGGTGACACCATGGGCCAGTGCCCAGGCAGTACTGGTGGCCAGGGTAGGGGAGAGACGAGCGGGACAGGCTAGAGGGGCTGGGCAGCGCCCCAGCTGGAGTCGATGGTGGGACTGAGGGAGCAGCTGATGTGGGTGAAGTGGATGGAGCAAGGTGTTTTCAAGGCCATCTTTGTCCTTGCCATTCTTGAGGGCTAAAAGGAGACTGGGAAGCAGGATGTATCCACAGTCAGGTTTGGGGCCAGAGTTCTGGCTTGGCATTAGCCTGTGGGGGCTGCTGTATTACAGTCCAGACAGTGCCAATTTAAGATGATTCAGTGTAAGAACAGTGGCCTAAAACATGAGAGCTATACTGCAAATTGTTAATTTGGAGGAGGGCATGGTGGCACACTCATGTCAGCCCATCACTCTGTGAGAGTGAGGCAGGAGGTTTACAAATTTAAGCGCAGTCCAGGCAATTTAGTGATTTAGCAAGACCCTGTCTCAAAATTTTAAAAAAATTTTAAAAGGGCTAAAAGAAAATACAGGTTAGTATGAAGGCCTTAGGTTCAATCTCCAGTGTCACATAAAGTTTTTTAAAACTTGTTTTCCTAGTTTAGATGTTGTTCTGGGATAGCAGCATCCAGCACCATGCTGTCTGGAGGTGCTGGGCAGGGCCTCAAGCTGCAGCTCGCAGTAGACAATGTGTCCACCCCAAGAGGGAGCAGCCAGGCTTCTGCCGGGTGCTACATGACTGAGACAGAGTGTGCAGCAGGTTAGATGTGTGCAGAGCAGCTTTAGAATTCATGGTACTTTCAGATTCTGATGGGTGTCAGGGAACCAGTAGGGGCTCAGCCCCTGGACATCTTCTCACTGTCTGGAGGCGGAGGGCTGTCTGACTCCAGGCTGCTGGCCGCACTGGAGCCCATGATGGTGGGAGGGGGGGAACATCTCTCCAGGCATCTCTTCTGGTCTTGGAACACATTGGAGACCCAGGTCCCAGGAGCAAACTCCTGATGTCTGTCTCACCTTCACATGAGCCCTCTGCCCCAGCCATATGCATCTCTGTGTTCAAAGCACCCCTCTCTATGAGGACACAGTCACTGTAGATGAGGGTGTCGGTTTAACTGGATCACCGCCTTAAAGCCCCTTCCCCAGAGGAGCGCCACCTTCACAGTTTGGACTCAGGACAAACCCTATCTTTAGGCAGAGTTCAGGCTGTGCCTTCTCTTGGCAGGCAGTGGCACAGCAGGACAGACAAGGGAGTGAGCTGCCCATTGGCCCACTGCTCTGCTATGCAAGAGGAAGGGGCACTGGGTTGAGCCATCAGGCTTGAGAGTCTAAGCTGCTTTTGTCTTTCTGTACAACTGAATCTTCTCCCCTTGACGTGTTCTTTCCTACCCAAAGATGTTCTGCAGCAAATATAGCCTTATTATTTTATTGTCACTGCCCATGGGTACCAAACACTTGTTCCGTTGATCTGTGCTCCCCCAAAGGGCTGCAGCAGCCCCAGGCTACTTTCCACATCCTAATTGCTGGGTGAATACACAGCTCTGGGAGGAGCTACTGGGGAAGAGGGGTGGTGGGCATTGCCACCTTCTGATTGGCTGAGCTGGGTCTAATCTGACCTTACTGGCCCAGACATAAGTCTATCACTATAGCTGTGAGAGCAGGGTGCAGCCTTTACTTGTCCTATTTTACATGAAGCAGAGTCATGTACAAGTATTCTAAATCAATATCACAGTCTGTAAATAAAGTGTCCCCAGATACAGATGACCCCTCCAAAAACCTGAAACCACACAGGCTTGCAGAGTTTGTGAATGAAACCAGCACAAGTTTAAGTGTAGTTACCAAGTTCCAGGCAGACTGGCAGGGGCCAAATCTAAGGGGTGCCCCTTAGGGTCTTTTGGAAGTCTTTTCCGGGGTAGACTGTCATGGTCAGTGGGGGGCCAGCTGCCTGGGGCTCTGTGCTGAGGAGGATTCGATGGCCCCACCAGGTCTAACCAAGGATGCCCTTGGCACAGGAGGGGAGACAGAGGCTCGGTGCCCTGTGTGCTATGTAGTCCCCTTTCCCAGAGCTTCCCAGGAGAAGTGCTCGCTCTAATTCCATGAGGAGGGCCTACCCAAGGTGGTACTCTCCTCCTTGACTCCCATCCTCCTATCCAGGTCCCCGAAGCCATCCGCAAGTGCCAGCGGGCAGGCATTACAGTTCGCATGGTCACTGGTGACAATATCAACACAGCCCGGGCCATTGCCATCAAGTGTGGCATCATCCACCCAGGGGAGGACTTCCTGTGCCTGGAGGGCAAAGAATTCAATCGGAGGATCCGCAATGAGAAGGGAGAGGTGTGTGGCCAGGGTGAAGGGTCCCCAAGGGACATACTGGGAACAGGAGCTGGGAGGCACAGGTACTGCATGCTTGCACAGGAGCCACCCCCAAGTGCCACCAACAGCTCAGTGCCTCTGGGTGAGTCCCTGCTATCCTTGAGCCTCAGTTTCTGTCTCCAGCCCCACCAACCCACTGTCTACCCGTCCCTCTCTAGATTGAGCAGGAGCGAATTGACAAGATTTGGCCAAAGCTGCGAGTGCTGGCTCGGTCTTCCCCCACAGACAAGCACACACTGGTCAAAGGTAAGCCAGGGCCCGTGGGCAGCACTAAGGCCCACACAGGCCAGGAACCTCCCTGGCCTGTGGCATCTTTGCAAGAGAGAAGGTTCCTGCCTGGCACTACCTGCACCAGGAGGTGCTCCTCTGCCGTCCCTGCCTCTTCTGCACCTCTGACTCCTCTGGGAAGCAGTGGGATTGGACCATCCAAGGTCTCAAGCACACGGCTCAGGGTCCAAATGGGGCCCACAGATGTGCTCTGTATGGCCTCTATAGTGGCTTTTCTTGCTCATTTTTTAAGTTTTATTAGCTGACATTTGCATTACGTAGAGACTACATTTATCATGCAGAGTTGGTTTGTGTCCATAACATACCTCAATTCTTTTTCATCCCCTTCCCTTCCTACTATCTCTTGGTCCCCTTCCTATGCTGAATTGAGTCTTTCCTTCCTGGCAGCCTTGCACTCAGCCCTCCCACTTACCTTCATCTGCCCTAGATCTCAGGTGGTTGAGACCCTTGATCAGCTTCACCTTGGTCAGCACCTATGACCGGCATACCAAGAATGGGGCAGCCCAGGAGAACAGCCAGACCAGAAAGGCCGAGAGTGCCCTTCTTCCCTCTGCTTCTCCTCCAGAGAGGGACACAAACCACCTGCTAAGCCAGGATGGCCAGCCATGGCCACATCCAGGGTCCCACAGCCCCAGTGTGTCAGTCAGATTTGTTGCTATAACAAAGACAACTTAAAGGAGAAAAGGTTTATTTTGGCTTATGGCTTCAGAGGTTTGGGGCAGAGTCACTTGGCAGCATTGCTTCTGGGCCCATGGTCACATGGCAGGGCATGGCAAGGACATGGGGTGGAGCAGGAGCTCGCCTCATAGAGGACAGGCAGAGAAGAGCCCAGAGAAAGACTGTCCCCAAGGCTACATCTCCAGAACCACTTCTTCAGCAAGGCCCCACACCCCCTGGCTCCATCACCTTGAAGCAGCGCCATCAAGTTATGACCTTATCCATGGATCAGTCAATCCAGTCACCTCCCAAAGCTGTCAACAGAAAGCTGTCAACATAGTGAGCCTTTGGGACTCACGCCATAACACCTGCCATCTGGATCTCAGTTTCTCCAATTTTCTGCCCAAATTACTCCTAGATGTCCTGAATTTTTGTCTCAAGAGTGTTGCCCAAAGACATTAATTGGGACAGATTTTGTCTAAGGACAGAAATACAGAAGCTAGAGCCATAGATGCCGGAGCATCCTTGCCTCTTTTTCATTCCTCCATTCCCTCATCAGTTCACTTATTCTCCAAGTAACTGCTTATTGAAAACCTACTGTGTGCCAGCCTCTTCCCTAGCCAGCATGTCCTTCCCTTTGGAATTCTCAGTCCCTGAAGGGAGAAAAGCAGAGCCATGGCTGTGAAGGGTGAGCTGGGTCCTCACCAGCTTCTGACTGCCACAGAGGGCATCAGGCAGAGACCTGCAGGCAGGCAGGGAAAACATAGCAGAGCTCAGACTGGCTGGAACTCCAGGAAGAGCAAAGCTGGAGGAGGATCCTGGGGAGCCCTTGGCCACTAGCCCAGCTAACAACCTGAACAGCGCTGTGCTGTTTGTCCAGAGCCAGCCTACACGGTGGGGAGAGGGAGGGCACTGTGTAGAAAGCTAATTCTGCTTTGGGAAGGGACCACCAAGATTGCCCAATGTGACCATTACCACCTGGACTTGGTGGTGGCAGTGCTGGCAGTCTGCAGAGCTGAGGGACATTTGCAGGTGGAGAACCTCAACTATCAGGAGGAATGCAAGGAGGAAGACCTCAGTTTCTGAGTCTTTGTTGTTTGAACACCTGCACTCTGCCATGCCCTGTGGCTCTCAGGTGGCCAGTTGGATGTCACTGAGAAGAGGCAGGTCTGAGGAGAAGGGGTGCACTCAGGGTAGGCCTGACTGAGCCTGGGCCTCTGACACTGGCCACCAAATCAGAGAGAGGGCGTGGTGGAGGGGTGTTGAGCTCCCACCTGAGTGGTGAATGGGACTCCATTCAAGGAAACCAAAGAGGGTGGCCAAGGAGCAGGGGCAGCCTCGGGTGAGGGGTGCAGGAAGGCCTGTGAGGCTGAGCAGAGGATGGGAGGTGGAAGTGGCCACAGGAAGCCTCTGGTGGCTCTGCAGGGCTACAGGTGAGTAGAGGGTACAGAGGCAGGCGACTTTCTCCCAGCTCTCTGGAGACTGTAAGAAGTCTGAGCCAGCCTGGGTGTTCAGAGAAAGCCCCACCACCTCACCTTAGGAGCGAGCCAGTACGTCTCAGGGGACCAAATGGGACAAAAGCCCTGCAGGCCCAGAAGATGGAACCCAGGCCAGTGGCTGCTGGCTGGGTGAGGACAACTCAGGATTACTTCTGAGCCACCAGATGTGGGAGCTGGGCCTGGACTACGGGTGCTTTAGAGGGGACAGGGCCCCAGGGTGAAGGGCTCCTCACTCCCTCTACAGCTGCTGCTGCCTGCCTGACACAGGAACCCACAAGGGGCAGGCAAGTGTCCTCAAGGCAGCAGAAAGGCTGAAGCTACAGAGAGGTGTAGCAGCACATCTGGCCAGGAGACCCTGGCACAGACAGGGCAGCCAGGTGTAACAGGAGGGGTCAGCACACACCTGCTCAGGGAGGGCCTCAGAGCACACATGCTCACCAAAGCCAAAGAGGACATAAAAAGTAGCCGGGGGCAAGGCCAGCATGTAAGAGACAGAGCCTGGGGCTCTGTGGGGAGCAGGCCAAGAAGTAGCATGGATGTTCTCACGGCAGAGACTGGTACCAAGGTCAAGGCAGAATTTCCATGGAGTTTTGGAGCTGCAAAACCCAGGCCTTGGTGAGGCACTGACCTGTGAAAGCATAGGGGAGTGTCAGGGTTGACATCCCTGCCCACTTCATGGGGGACCCTTGTGATGATACCTGTCATCTGTTCTGTTCCCTGGTCCTGCTAGGGGCTGGGACCACATGTCACCTGCTCATGCTGGTCTGGTGGAAGATTTTATGAGGATGCATATCTAGAGAGAGTCAGAATAGTGTCAGAATAGTGTCATGGGGCTACAGTTACCCACAGATGGCATGGCTGTGGAGGAGCAGACAGTGGACTGGGTGTTCCAGAAAGGCTGATGAGCCCTGAATCAGGCAGAGGAGATAAAATACAGTGTTTCTGACTACAGTGGCCACCAGTATGGCTAAGGGATATAGGAACAAGGACAGAGAGATGGACAAGGTGCTGGCCACAGAGACCCCACAGCTGGCCCAGGTGCCCAGCATGGCCCCAGTGTGCCAGAAGAAGCACGACGGTAGGAGCTAGTGGAACAGGGGCCAGAGGGCAAGGGCTGGCACAGGCTACCCTGCTCGTCGGCCCGGAAGCCCTGAGCACATCCACCCCAACAGGCATCATCGACAGCACACATACCGAGCAGCGGCAGGTGGTAGCTGTGACTGGAGATGGGACCAACGATGGGCCTGCACTCAAGAAGGCTGATGTGGGCTTCGCCATGGTAGGAGCAGCTCAGAGGGCCTGGGTGGCATCTGGGAGGAGCTCATAGACAAGGCTTTGGGGGGGCTTATAGTATCCACAGTTCAATCTCAACCCAACCATCATCCACTCATGTATGTCCAAGGCTCTCGACCTCACCCTGGCCCTAGGGGTCTTCCTAGAAGGGTCCAGGGTGCCCTTGTCCCAGAAGCTTTGTGCCAACAGGCATGCACAGGTCAAGAGGATCAGGGTGAGGGGGAAAAGAGGCCAAGGGCTATGGGTGCCTTCCTGAGCATAGCCTGGCTGTACTAGTTTCTGAGGCAGGGGTGCAGAGTAGAGCTGGGAACATGCAGGGTCACAGACAGCAGTATAGAACCACTCACTGCCCCCCAGCCACCCCCAGGTTCCTATCCCTGTCCCCACAGGGCATTGCAGGCACTGATGTGGCCAAAGAGGCCTCAGACATCATCCTCACAGACGACAACTTCAGCAGCATTGTGAAAGCCGTGATGTGGGGCCGCAACGTCTATGACAGCATCTCCAAGTTCCTGCAGTTCCAGTTGACCGTCAATGTGGTGGCTGTGATAGTGGCCTTCACAGGTGCCTGCATCACACAGGTGGGTCCTAGAAACACAGCAAACATTGGTGCCAGGTGAACCCCAGGATCCCTGGGGACAGAGCACTGCCTGGGCTGGGAGCCGCATCACAGAGGCCAGCATGGGCCCTATCGAGCCTCGTGCCCCATCTGCTTAACCCCAGATCCAGGCTGCTGATGGCTCCAGGAGGTGGGAAAAGCAGGGCCAGGAACAGCAGAGGCCAAATGGCCAGAGGATGACAGAGGGGGCCTTAGTTCTCAAGGGTGTGTGCAGGGCAGGCCTGGAGGATACACAGAATTATAGGATTGTGCCCCTCTAGATCAGTAGCTTTGACACAGTGTTGGGAAGAGCCGTGGCCAGCAGGACCTGGACTCCACAGCTTCCTCACTGCAGCCCATGAGGCAGCACTGAGGTCAGGCCCACAGAGGACAAAATGGTCCCGCTTGCCAATCAGTTCTCAAGCCTCCTCTGCTGTGATCAGCCCGGTTCCTCTAGCAACTGACCATTGGGCCTGGGGAGCAGAGAGTAGGCTCACTCAGTCCTGGGGATGCCCGAGGCCTGAACTTGCAAAGAGCCACCAGCACTCACAGGAGCACCTCCAACCTTGGTCCCACAAGTGTGGGGCCCTGGAAGCACTGTTTTGTTTGCATCTTGAACTATGAAAGTGCTTCTGACAGCTCTGATGCCCAGTTCCAAGGGAGGAGTTGGGGACTATGTGGCTGGGGCTTCCCTCTGCACCCAGGGCCCTTTCCCCTCAGCTGTGAATGAGAGGTTCCCTCTAGTGGCAGCTCGGGGACACTGCTGTGGTGGTGACCCCTCATGAGGCTTTTGGTGGCTGACACACTGAAAGATGAGCAGTTCCCTAGAGGTCTTTGAGGGAGGGAGGGAGAAAGTGGCCAGCCCCTCAGACACAGGCAGCAGAGGTGTCTGGAAGGCAGGAGGAAGCCTCCAGGGTACAGCCCATCAGCCAGGCTGAAGTGGGGGCAGAGGACAGGCTATAACACTACCCCAGAGGTCGACAGGCCTCGGGGCAGCGGGTGGCTGATGAGTGTTAGAGTTTTCTAGCACAATAGAGAAGCAGAATATAAGAAAAAGTGAAAGTAGCCTTTTTATTCAAAGGATGTGGAGAGGAACCCACAACCCACAATGGTTTGGCTTTCTCCTCCGACCCAGTATGGGAGGTGGGGGGTATATGACCTTTGGCCAGATGTTTGGGGCAGGCATTTATGACATGTGAGGAGCTGATTGGAATTTTCTTCATGTGCATGGGGAAAGGAAGGAGGAAGTTGTAATCAGGGAAGAAGAAGAACGTGGTCATCAGAGTAAGCATCCCAGTTTGGCCCTCCACCATGTTAGTCAACACCATAATGTCCTGTAATTTATTCTAGGGCAAAACTCTTTCATTCCCGTCTTTCTATTGTTAGAAAAAGGGCAGAGACTCTCTCTTACTACTGCCTGCCGGATACGAGCATCGTGTTGGGGTTTAGGAGGGGTTGATAGGCTGATGCCCAGGGAGAAGCTGGTACCAGGTGCTTCCGCCAGGGTAAAGGGTGTATCATTGGTGAATATTCCCATCCTAGATCAGAGAAATAAAAAGACAAAGTGCTATGAGGAGGCAGGTCGTTATCATGATTAAAGGACCCAGGAGGGGTAAAAGGAAAGGTGCCCTTGTCTAAATGTGTCATTCCATCAGGGCCATAGTGAGGAAGAATTTGAAAAGTAAGTGTGGAGTTGAGGGAGTAGTTATGGGGGGCAATTATTCCCCCATCGGAAAAGAGTAAAATTAAAAAGTGCAGGTAGGACTTATTCTTGGTCCAGAGGTTGAGCTGAAGAGAATGGGAAGCATGAGAAAGTAAGGCCTGACAGTTCGGGCACATTTGTGAAATTATAGACTATGGATGTATCGGGTCCTGACCTAGATCCCCAATCTCCCAAATGAATATACGGTAAAGGCTTAAATAAAATGAGACAAGTGGGATGATTTTAGGGCTCCAGGAGGGTCAGAACCCTTTAGCTGAGTTCAAGACTTTGAGGGCTAAGACAAAAACTTCTCTGGACCGTCCATTTTTATTAGGTCCAACAACAAAGAGCAGGGAAACTGAGGGAAGCACAGGCGATGAGCAGGACCTTGGGAGTCACTTCAGAGACTTCTCTGAGCAGTAAATCATGCCAATTTAGGAGAACCATCTTATCATGAAGACACGGTAGAAGTGAGACGGTAGGAGTAATTTCTGCAGCTGCAGTCCCTATCTACTTAATTTATGTTTGAGCCAAGTGTCCATAGCTATGGCCTTGTCATGCCACTGCAGGCCTCAGCCAGGACCAGAGATTCATAGAGGTTCACTTACTATGAATCAGCTCCCATCATCAGGCAAGGGGCGGAGGCCTAGGACAGACTCACAGATAAACATAGAAAGTCAATTGGCTAATTTTAAGTCCTGCTCAGAGCCACTTCATAGCGGTCTCCAACATGGGGGGAGACAGGAGATGTGATGACCACTCACGATATGTAGAGTCAGGGGTGTTAGGAACCAGCATGGCAGTCCAGCAATCTTGACTACCATTGGAGTTGTGAGGAAGACCAAGTAGGGGCCACTCTACTTTGGGTGTAGTCCTGCTGAGTGATTTGAGGATCATTATTTGACTGGAAAAGTAAGAAGATATTTGAGAGTTCTGTGGTGGGGCATGTGTGTAAACTTGGCCTGTCAGTCCTGACCAGGGATGTGCCCCCAAAATTGATGAGTAGGGAAGGAAGAGGGTGGTATGTGTCCCTGAAACAAGATGCTAGCACAGAGATGACAGGAGTGAGTAAGCTGAAGGATGATAGCCCTCAGAAAAGGATGGATAACCACTGGGGATAGGAGTCTGGATAGGACCTGTTATCCCACATGGAAATAGTGTGTAAGTCAGTGATGACATCTAAGGCCTGCTGATTTGAGAGAACAAGTTTTGATCCCTGGAATATCTATCCCTGAGTGCTTTGTGTGTAACTTGGTCTATGAAGTAAGCTTTTGGAGGACATCTTTATCTAAAAGGAATGTGAGATACATTAGTAAATTGAAAAATCTGTGAGTGAAGAAGAGGGTTTGGAACCTACACGGAACGGGCCCTATTTGAAGAGATTGTGTAGGCTGGAATTTAATATACACTGAGGATTTAATATAATGGCCTGAAAACTCAGGAAGAACACTGTACCTGGCCTCTGTGTCTACAAGTACAGAGAGTGCCTTACCTGAGATCTCTAGTGAAACTTAGGGCTCTGAGAAGGACACCTTAATGGGGGCTGTGGGCCCCATTCCCCATCAATCTTCAGCAGCAAGTCCAAGTTGATCTGCCAGTGACGAATCCAGTGGTGACAAGATCTCCTGTGAGAGCAAGGAGTTAGAGGATGGCTTATCCCCTTTCTGGTAGCTACGACAGCTGCTCTTCCAATGGCCCTTGAGATTGCAGAGGTGGCAGGGCCCCAGGGGAACTCGTGGGTTAAGGCATTCTCTTGCCCAGTGTCCTTTCTGGTCTGGGAGGGGCTCAGGCAGCTCTGCCTTGTTGTGGTTTACCTGTCTTAAAACCCCAAATACCACTGCTAAAAGATCAGATTACTATTTTCTCTCCTTTTGAGTTTTACCTCTTCTCTTGAAAGCACAAAAAGCCATATTAAGAAGGTCTCCCTGTGGGGTTTGAGGGCCAAGTTAACCTTTTGTCTTGGGAGCTGGCCCAAAGTGGGGGGTATCTGTCTCCTCCAAGGTCACAAGACATCTGGTCCTCTGTGTTGGCTCCTATAAGGCCATAGCCCTGTCTGACTGTGTATAATATTTTTATCTGACTCAGCTGCCTATAACATTTTTTCCTTTGAAGAAGTAACCTGAACTACCATGAGGGATAATGGACCAATCTGGCTTCTTCAGGCTGAAGGGAGTCAAAGTTGTTGATTGGCCATCAGGGATACTCTGCCGAGCTTTTAACTAGTGGTCCTCAGTAGATAACAGGCATTTTCATCTTGGGTAGGCACACAGCTTTAAGTCTAGAGGAGACAAGGGCAAAGAACCAATTGAGTATGCAGGGTCCAAATAATAGAACCAACAGGATGATTATGAATACAGTTCTAGTAATGGCTTCCCATGAGGAGGATAAGGATGATGTCCAGGGAATTTTAGAAACTGACATGTCATTCATTTGTTGTACGATCATATAAGCACCTCCTGTGCTGTTAGAATGTCTAATGAGACATTCTAAGGACATTTGAAGGACAGCCTTTTTTACTAATTTTTACCTTTTTTATTTAGGAGAGAGATCAGCTGCAGTGCCATTTAAGGCCTGTTGAGTATAGTTAATTATGACCTCAATATGCACCATATAACCTTTTTCTGGAAATGATTTGATGGATCTCAGTAAAAGGAATCTAAAAGGAATTTAGCATATTTGTTATTGTTTTTATCTGTGTGATGCATTGGGGTTTGGCACCTTCTAGGCAAGAACAAACTTTAATCAAAGTATATATACAAAGGCATGTATAATCAAAGCATGAGCCATAGAACTGACAGTTAAGTTTAGAAATTGTTTCTAAATTATAGCAGTTGGAACCCATTGACTCTTAGGTCCTTTTGTTGATAGACATTACATAAACTTTTGTTTAAAAATTATCATTTGACTGGTTGGTTTGGCTTGAATATCTTGGCTGGACCACAAGAAAAAGGCAGATGTCTGGATCTAAAAGAAGATATTTATCATCATAAAAAATCCCAGTTTTATACTTGAAGGTGTGAATATACCATAAGACCAGCAATAATGAATTGCCTTAGCCATACAAAGTTTATTTAGGGTGTCTCCCATAAGGCTCTGGAGATTATTGGAACCTCCAGTAAATGAATAAGAACTGGTTAAAGTTACCAGGCAGCCGCTCTCTTATCCATCAGTTGGAGTCTTGTACAGTCTCTCCTCATCCCAAGGGATTTTGTTTAACCAGTTTTAGCATCATTTTGACCAGCTGGCAACCCAGGTGGAAGCATGCTTTTTAAATCTATAACCCAAATAAATCTTGATTAGATGATCTGAAAATGCAAAAGAAGGAAAAGAGAAAAGATTGCTAAGCTCAAGTAAAAAGGAACAGCTGTTTACAGAGCAGACACATGGACAAACATGGACAGACAATCTATACTGTATAAACAGACACCAGGTACACAGACAAACTGACAAAAATCTTACAAAATCAAAATGCACTCAAATATATTTGGCCAATTTAAACTATAGTAAATAGACTAGTGCGAGCCTTTTTGTAGGTCAATTAACTCTTGAAATAAGAATAGCAGAAAAGGAATCTAATTTATGGTTTAGGAGACAGATCAGTGACTGAAAAAGGAATGTGAACATGAATCAGTCCCTGGGAACCAGCCTGTTCCCAAAGGGAGAATAGGGATTGAGGCTGAGAAGGCTCCACATGAAGATAGGAGGTGTTGGTGGGCACTGAGCAGCCAACCCGCCCAGCAGTGTCTGTGGGCAATTACAGAGTGATCAACACAAAGTGGCCACTATCACCATATGACAGGGAAGCACAAGATGGTGACTGGTTACCATGAGACCCACAGATACCTGGTGCTAGTTACATGGTGAGGGAGCACAAGATAGTGACTAGTCATCATGTGACCTGCAACAAGATGGCTGCTGATGATCCCACGATGAGGGCCTGAAAGATGGCGGACTGTCACATGGCAGAGGACCACAAGATGGTGGCTGTCCTCCATGTGAGCTGCAGCAAGATGACTGCTGAGGACCATGTGGTATGAGATCACAAGATAGCAGTCGAACACCATGTGCCTGCTTGGTGACTGAGATACATGAGACCAAGTGTGGTGAGCCAGCAGGTTAATGGCAACACAGGAGCAGGGGAGAGAAAAGAGGAACCATCCAATGGAATGATGGCTCAGGTGGAGAGGGTCAAGAAATCTGAGATTGGAGAGAGGAAGTAAGGAAAGGGTTAGAGGCCACTGCCCGTGAGGAAAGGGGAAGGATGATGCAAAGCGCCAAAGCCTTGGGGTTCGGGCCTGGGGATACGGAGAAGGGGACTAAAGACAGCAGGCACAGCTGAGGGGAGGAGGGAAGAGATCTTTGTACAGTACAGGGAGCCAGAAATATTTGGGCCACCTTAAGTGACTGGGAGAACACATCCTTAAGTGGGAAAGGCCTGAGGATAGGAGATTTCTGCCAACTTGCCACCATTGTGATAGAAGTATAAATAAAAGATCAGCTTTTTGGTTTTTATAGCCTTCTTGAGGCCAAGAGCACCACGGTTCTGAACCAGGCACCCCCGAGGTGTGTTTTCGGGAACAGGAAATGGTATTCCCCATAATGACCGAATTAGAGGTAAGCCAAGAAAACAGCTTTGCCACAGGACATAAGAGCTTTAGCTCCTGCCACTCAAGGATGTGGAATGTCCTGGGTCACACTTATCAAAAGAAGTCATCACCTGTTTTGAAAGTGTGACAAGTAAGGTCCCAACACACATTCTCATTGGCTGTCCACTGAAAATGCTGATTGGGGTCCCAGAGGATAAGAGAATAACAGTTTTGCCTTGGGCTGTCCTGTGAAAACTGCTGTCTTTGTCCAGGAACAGCAAAGGATAGGTTTTCTGACACAAGCTCGTGAATTTCTAAGGCTGAAAACAGCTTTGCCTCAGTTATGCAAGGAGCGTAAAAGCTTTTATCCACTGAGAAACTGAAACAGAAAACCTCAGACAGTATCTCATCTGGGTTGGATGCAGGCTAGGAACAGCAAGCAAGCAGGTCTGGAGGAAGGAAAAAGCAGCTCACAGACAGAGGGAGCTCAAAACTGGAGGTGACCTCCAGGAGCTAATGCACTCTGCCAATCCGAGCCTCAAGGCACCAAAATGTTAGTTTTCTGGCTCAACAGAGAAGCAGAATATAAGAAAAAGTGAAAGTGGCCCTTTTATTCAAATGACATGGAGAGGAGCCCAAAACCTGCAACAGTTTGGCTTTCTTCTCTAACTGGATGTAGGAGGTGGTAATATGTAACCTTTGACCAGATGTGGCCCTTGGGGAGGGCATTAATGACACACAAGGAGCTGATTGGAATTTTTTTTCGCGTGCGTGGGGAAAAGGAGGCAGTTGTAATCAGGGAAGAAGGAGGAAGTGGCCATCAGGGTAAGCATTCTCAATTTGGCCTTTGGCCATGTTAGACCACTGCCATACTGTCCTGTAATTTATTCTAGGGCAAAATTGTCCATGAAAATACAGGGCTCCCAGGTGAATGAGCTGAAGCCCCAGGGAAAGGACAGAAGGAGAGCTGTCTCCTCCCGATTCCCAAATAAACATGGAGGACATGGCCATGTGAGAGAAAAGCAGGCTTTACATAGTCATCAAGTCACCATGGAGGAGGTGGAGGGCTCCTGTTATCACCATCACCCCTCACCGCGTCCAGGCACACAGCACAGAGTCCTTTTCAGAGAGGAAAGTTGCAGAGAGCATCACCAGACACATCCAGCAGACTCCATGTTCGGTTTTAAGGCCCTCTCTGACGAAGTCTACAGAAGCCACTTATGTCTAAAGGAAACAAATTCAAACTGTAACCCTGTAGTAAAAGTTAAATGCATTATTGCTGCAGCACAGACACACGCAGATACTTTTTCAGATCCCAGAGACCAGTAAGAGATGGAGGAGGGGCAGGGGCAGGTGTTGGCCTCTCCAAGGAGGGACCTTTACAGCTAGGGCTACAGCTAGGTTCAGGGGAGCAGATGGGCTGCCTCAGGTAACAGCACCCCTCCCTGCCTGCTGCCCCCAGGACTCCCCTCTGAAGGCCGTACAGATGCTCTGGGTGAACCTCATCATGGACACCTTCGCCTCCCTGGCACTGGCCACCGAGCCACCCACAGAAACCCTGCTGCTGCGGAAGCCCTACGGCCGCAACAAGCCCCTCATCTCTCGGACCATGATGAAGAACATCCTGGGCCACGCTGTCTACCAGCTCACCCTCATCTTTACACTGCTCTTCGTTGGTGAGCCCTGGCCCCCATGTCTTCCCAGGCACCTGTGGCCCAGCTCTGCTCCTGGATCCACATTCACCTTCCCTTTGCTAACGGGGAAAGCAGGGATAAGCAGGTTGTTCAGAGTCACACAGGGACCCTAAGTATAACCAGGCCCTGTCTCAGGCTGACGAACCCCGCAGCCAACAATAGCCCCTACTGCCGAATGACCACTGCACCCCATAGTCCATGGAAGCCCAGGCTTTGCAGGAGGTAGCCACCCTTCTGCTGGGACCCCTCCATTGCCCAAACCCTCCAGGAGCAATCCTTCCCCTTTCCCAGGATTCCTTCTAGGCTGGGTCCTCAGATCTCCCAGGCACATTTCCAATCACAATGGCAAGTACCTGAGATAATTAACTTAGAAACAGGAGCTGGATTTTAACTCAGGCTGGCAAAAGCACTGGCCCCCAAGCTGGAAGTACAGTCTAGGGAAGGGCTGGGGTTCCACAGTCTCCTTCAAGGGCACCTCTCTTGAGAAGTCCCACCTGGCTCCACCACCTCCCAACAGCACTGCAGGCTGGGGACCAGGCCTGTGACAGAAACAGTATCGCAAACCATAGTGGCCTCTCGTGGGCATTTTGCCTTCCAAGTCCAGGTGTGTTTGCTAATCTGGGTCACTTTTTTCCCCCCTCACAGTACTAGGGATTGAATCCAGGGAGCACTGAGTTACATCCCCAGCCTTTTTTATTTTTTTTTTTATTTTAAGACAGGGACTCGCTAAGCTGCTGGCTGGCCTCAAACTTGCAACTCTCCTGCCTCAGCCTCCAGAGTAGCTGGGATTACAGGCATGCGCCACCATGTACCGGCAAATCTTTATAAGCAATGTCACCTGATAACACAGCTGGCATTCAACCTTTCTCAGATCCCCACAGAAAAGGTGGAAGATAATTCCCCAAGGTCTTTGCCACCCAGAGGAGAAAGGGGTCTGTTAACCCTGCACCCCTCACTGGCCAAGCCCCACCTCAGCCCCGCCCCGCCCTCTGGCTTGGCAGGCGAGAAGATGTTCCAGATCGACAGCGGGAGGAATGCGCCACTGCACTCACCACCCTCTGAGCACTACACCATCATCTTCAACACCTTCGTCATGATGCAGCTCTTCAACGAGATCAACGCCCGCAAGATCCACGGCGAGCGCAACGTCTTCGATGGCATCTTCCGGAACCCCATCTTCTGCACCATTGTGCTGGGCACTTTTGCCATCCAGGTAGCCAGGACTCCCCGACCTGGCCTGGGCTCACAGAGCAATGCCAGGGCAGACCCTGATAGCCTGTCCCTGTCTCTCTCCCTCTCTGCCTATGACCTCCAGATCGTGATTGTGCAGTTTGGAGGGAAGCCCTTCAGCTGCTCCCCACTGCAGCTGGACCAGTGGATGTGGTGCATATTCATCGGGCTGGGAGAGCTGGTCTGGGGCCAGGTGAGTTCAGGCAGGGTGCAGGAGTACCTCTGGGCAAGGAAGGGAAAGAGCAGCAGCCAAGGTCCCAGGAGCCCCCTGGAGCAGGGCCTCCCATCTCTGTGCACCCAAGCAAAGCAGACATGGCGGGCCCACACACTGGCATTCTGAGCATCTCCACTGGGATGTTTTCCTTTTTATGACACACTACCCATGTTTCTGTTTCTTTTTTTCATCAACTTAAATTTAACTCAAGAGGCAACATTATATTGCTAATATGACTGGACAATCAGGCACTTGCTAAAAATAGAAGTTAACAAAACAGTGAAGTAAAGAGCATGATGTTATTAAATGCTCACTAGATGCTAATGGGCCAAGCCATGTAGCCTGAAGATAGAAAGGGAAATGGGTCATCAATGTCCTGTGCTGATGGCCAGCAATGACCTCAGAGGACACAGAGGGAGTGCAAGAGGGGCAGTCCTGCCATGCTGTGGTGCAGTGCCTATGGCCATCCAAGATCCCCCTGGCTTTGGGGACACTCTCTAGTGGCCCCTCCAGCTGTGACCCCAAAACATTTCCACCAGTCTCCCAATCCCTTTCCTGCCTTTGTCACAGGTGTGTGTGTGCACACGCACACGTCTTTATCCCAGCTGTGACACCTTGTAGCTCAGTCTCCTCAGCAGGATACCATACTTAGCAGCAGTGTCCAGAATGATCCTGAGCTGAAGGGGCTTTTCCCCAAGGTGCCCAGCCATTCAGGCTAGGGGACCACCTGGGCCTGAGACACTGTTCTCAACTCAGACTGTCTCCAGGCTGCAGTAAAAGCTGCAAGGGCAAAATTAACCAGATGAAGAGGAAGGTTTGAGTTTCATCCACATGGATTTTCCAAAGCACACTGCTGACTCGTGATTTAGTACCCTGTTCTCTGCACCCCCAGAGCCAGGCCACCATCATTGCCTTGGTCCTCATCTGAAGGAGCTCCAGAGTGTGGAGCAGACTCAAGAGACTAAGGCTGATGCCAGTATGCAAAGCTAAACCTGAATCCTAGGACTCCCAAAGGCTGAGTATTTGGTCCAGTGAATTTGTTCCCTATCGCCTCAGTTTCCCTATTAGACCTGCCTCTCAGGCCTTAGCCCCATGGACAAGCTCATCAGGAAAGATAAAAGTGAAAGCATTTCCTCTTTCCACATTGTCTTCCCCTTCAAGATGGATGCTACATATTTAGGGGTTCTTAAAGGGGACTCAAGAAGATTTTAGGGCCCAGCTTGGGCCAGGCTGTCCATGGCAACTTGGACACACCATGTGGCTTTATCTCCACAATTTCCAAAGCTTCCACTGTGCTTTACAAAAGAAAAAACTAAAATACAGAGAGAAAAACTAAAATACAAATGACTTGCCAAAGTCACGCAACAGAATATGACGTAGGGTATTCAAAGTCACATCTGTGCAACTCCCAAAGGAGTGTTCAACTCCTAGGTGTTCAGCTCCATCCCCTTGACCCTGGGTAAATGGGTGAGTTAAAAAGCAAATTTATTGCCAGGCTTGGTGCCACACACCTATGATCCTAGCACTCTAGGAGGCTGAGTCAAGAGGATTGCAAGTTTGAGCTCAGGCTGAGCAACAGCAAAATCCTAACTCAAAATTTTAAAAAGTACAGATAAAGGCTAGGAATGCAGCTCTGTGGGAAGGCCCCGGGTTCAATTCTCATTACTGGAGAAAAAAAGAAAGGCAAGCAGGTAAAAACCTAGAAGAGTTTGAGCTGAGTGGTCAGGGAAAAAGGACAGGGAGGAGGAGGGGCAGGAGCCAACCAGGAGGACAGTGGTGGCCTGACTCCAGCGCTGTCCCCCACAGGTCATTGCCACCATCCCAACAAGCAGGCTCAAGTTCCTGAAAGAGGCGGGCCGGCTCACACAAAAGGAGGAGATTCCTGAGGAGGAGCTCAACGAGGATGTGGAGGAGATAGACCACGCTGAGAGGGAGCTGCGCCGGGGCCAGATCCTGTGGTTCCGGGGCCTGAACCGCATCCAGACACAGGTACGTGAAGCCCCAGGGCCAGGGCCAGCCTGGCCAGGTGGCCAGACAAGGAGGCCCCTGTGAGCCTACCCATCCCAAACTGGCCACCGAGGGGCAGGTGGATTTGGATGACCCTTGGCAGAGGCCACCACAGGACCCCAGGCTGACCCTCTCTCTCACACTAACTGTTCACGCACCCACATCCCTCACACGGGTTTGTGACTGCTAAAGAAGCAGAGAAGCCTGTGTGGCAAGACACCATTGTGCCTTCTCAACTGGTGGGGGTCCCTTGAGAGGAAAGGGAGGGTGGCTCTGAGACTGAGGTGGATGAGGGGACTCATCAAGGGGCAGCCACCAGGAGGCAGAAGGAGGGACTGGGTAATGGACCGCAAGGCAGGGTTGCTCCAGGGCCTCCTGCCATGAGGTATGAACACTCTTTATCACACATCTCCTCTGCGCCCACGTGACTCCCTGGGGATTGGAAGAGACTGAGAGGAGCAAGGCTGGTATCTCCTTGCACATGTGCACACACACATGCACACTGAACACATACTGGGGAGCACAAATGCACAATGCCTCCCAGTCACAAGCAGATTTCTTCCCAGACCAAAGCATATGCTGTGCGCCTGTGACACCTTACCCCATGCTGTCTCGCATTGCCCAGGGCAGACATCACAACCCAGAGTGCTGTCAGAGCACCAGGGGGTCAGCATTAGAAGGGGTCTAGGAACCCGAGAGGGAAGGCCCCTACCCAAAGAGACCAGTGGGAACTTCTACCTCAGGTCCACCTCACTTCCACCTCAGGTCCCCCACGGCCCTCTTGGGAAGAGCTGCAAACTAGCAACTTCCTTTCCACCAGCAGTCCCATCCCAAACCTCTTCTCCTGGACTTTAACAGTCCTGAGATGTGGATATGACCCCCAGTTTTGGAATTCACTGAGGTCCCAAGATGACCCTGCCTCCCAAACTGGCCAGGGCAAGACAGGGGCGGTTGCACTTGGAGACAAGCCTGGGCTCTCCTTCCTGAGCAGGACCCAGCAGCCTGTACTTCCTGTGAGGACACACAGCCCTGGTTTCTCCAGCTCCCCTGCAGGCCTGCAGCTCACAGGAGAAAGCAAGAACTGGTTTCCTGAGGACCATGGCAGGAGCCTACTAAGTACCAATGTGGCCTGGCACTTTGGCTCTTACAGATAGAACTGCTGGGTAGACAGGATTGCCCCTTAGGACCAGAAATGGGGGCTCAGAGAAGGGACTTGCCCAAGGCCACCCAGCCGAAACTGGGGCCTAGGTCTTTCCACCGGAGCACCCAGTGGCTCCATGCCCAGCCTTGCCCCAGCCCAGCCTGCTGGCCCTGAGCCACTAGCACGAGGGGGCAGGCAAGAGCCCCAAGTCCTCCCCAGAGCACAGGGCCTACAGAGGGCAGATACCTGTCAGAGCCTTGAAGTGTGTCTGGTATTTTTCATTTTAATTTAAGTGGCGTTGTCATTGTCGCCGTGGCTGCGGCTGTTCTCATGGTGTGGTGCCTGTCAGTCGTGTAGCTGTTGTGTCCGTTCTTCTCGCAACTTGTCTCGTTCTCTCCTCCGTTGCAGATTGAAGTAGTCAATACTTTCAAGAGTGGGGCCTCCTTTCAGGGCGCCCTGCGGAGACAGTCCTCGGTCACCAGCCAGAGCCAGGATGTAGCCAATCTCTCTAGCCCTAGTCGAGTGTCGTTGTCCAATGCTCTTTCCTCTCCGACCAGCCTTCCTCCTGCTGCAGCTGGGCGTGAGTGTGACTCCTTACCGCTCTGCTGGTGCCGCCAATACCAGCTCCTGGGCGGGCTGGTGGGCAGGGGCTGGGAACCAGAGGACATGGGGGGCAGCTGGTCACTGCAGTCCAGGGCGCCGAAGAGCCAGAGCCCCTGGGGAGAGTCCCTAGTAGGCAGGAAGTCAGGGCCAGTCACAGGATGGCAGTCACTGCACAGGCCAGGTCAAGGGTCAGCCAGTTGGGTGCCATTAGGGCTACAAATGGCCAAAGGGTCTGGGTTGAGGCATCACCGTTGGTTAGAAGGGCCTGATTTTTAGTGATAAAATGGTTCCAATCCACTACCAGGCCCCAGAGGCCAAAGGGGCCATCACTGAGGATCACACAGTGTGCCCCTGCTTATGCTCTGTCAAGAAAAGCCTGGCTCCAAGAGCAGGAGCCAGAATTGGCCAGGAGGTCACAGTCACCTATTCAGAGTAATGCACAAAGGTTCTATGGCCAAGGGTGAAAGCCCTCAGGTCACAGATACAGCAGGATCAGCTGTAGGAAGCCACAGAAGGATCACATCATCTGCAGCTTCTCAGCTGGTCAGGAAGCACCCACTAGCCATGGGGTCACAGCCATGGGGCAGAGACAAACCAAGAGGTCCCTTCAAGTCAGAGGTCACAATCAATCAGGAGTCCCAGGCCACTAAGGAGACCACAGCCCAGGGCACTGCCAGAGCAGTTCAGAATCTGCACCTCCCTGCCCCTTCTCCCTGTGCACCTCAGTTGCTGTAGAAACACCACTTTCCCAAGCGAGGGAAGCACACTGTGGAGTTCTGCCCTTTTCTGGAAAAGACAAGGCTCCTGACCTGTCTGCTGACTGCCGATGAAAAATGGTGGGTCAGGCCCCTCACCTTGGAAGGGTCTGGTCTAACTGAGCATCTGGCCCTCCTGTAACTCAGGAGCAGCCCAGCCACCTCTCCTCCATCCCCCTCCTGCCAAACTCGTCTCATACTACCGCTTCTGACCCACACATCTCTGGCTCTGTCTAGACTTTTCCTCGACCTCCCCATAGTTTCAGGCCCTGGAGGGAATCGGTCTGTATTTCCCACCTACCTCCTCTGTTTTGTCTGTCAAATGGGCCCTAGCTCTGATCTCAAATAGATGGGAATGCACGACATCCCAGCACTCTCAAGTCTAGGGCAGCAGGATCACTGTGAGTTTAAGGCCAGCCTGGACTGTGTAGTGAGACTGTCAAAAAAACAAACAACAAAAACGTAGCTGCGATATTTCCATTATTCCCGTCAGCCTTCAGCTCTTTGATGAGAAACAAACTGTGGGCCCTGGTACTTTAGAGAGTGCTCCACCTGCACCAGGAAACAGTTACCACACTCATCCCTGTCCACCGAGCATGACCTGAGTGTAGGATAGGCTCTCCATTGTGGGCCTCTGATAGGAGGCGCAGACCACAGAGCCTGCTGACAGCTTCTGCTTATGCCCACCATCTTCTTTCTATGGATGCTGACTTGCTAGTATGCAAGAAGGATGCACAAATCTCCATTCATTGGCACAGAATCAGTGACAGGGTGGCCAGCTGAGCCACGAGGACATGGGGTGTATTTGAGCAAGTGGTATCTGAGTCACCTTTCCCTGAGGCACTATCCTGAGGAGATCACTTCCAGGCTGTCTCAAGAGGATGGTCCTGTCCTCCTCCCCTTTCAGACCAGTGACCCTGGTCCAGTAGGTAGCTCTGCCCCATCTGACTTTCTCCTCCCTCCCATCCCCATGTCAGCCTAAGTCTGGCCTTGCCCCTACTTCCTCATACCACCTGTCCTGAAGTGACATCACCAAATGGCCCAGCAAGGAGACATCCCTGTCGGTGACTCCTGAGGTCTCCTAGCTGACTCTGCCTACCAGAAGACTAACTTCTGGGTGTGAGCTCAGTTCTTTTTCCATTCTGATTTGGCCTCATTCTTGAATCATAGCACTCAGCACTGGCCATGACAGACCTCCTGGGGCACCCGTGTAGCCCTGGAAGAGATTCCTGCAGTTGACTCTCATCGTAGCTCACACGGGCTAGAAGAAAGAGTTGGCCTTTCTTCACACTGCAGATAAAATCCTCACCTTTTCATCTGTGTCATTTGTAAAACCATTCAAGAAGGCCAGTCCTGGGACAACACTTCACCTTCAGAGCAATGCCCATTTATGCCCATTCTGTGCTCCCATCTCTGAGCTAATCTCCTTCCAAGCCAGATTAATCTCCCTTAGCCCATGTGACCCATGTCTCTGCTCTGGAACAGCCCTGCAAAGGAGCCTAAGCAAAGGCTGTACCACGACTGAGCTTCTCTGGGACCCCTTATTCTCTCAGGTGACCCTATGAAGCTGTTTACACACAGCTCCCTCACCTTAGCCCCAACCTGCAGCTCTCCAAGATGTTGCCCACTCCCACCCTCTACTTTAGAATTCAGAGTTCTGGGTCCCTTCCAGATCCTTTCATGGGCATGGGCTCTAGAGGCTGAGCATCCTTCTGCCCAAGGGCACTGGCTTCTAGAGGGGATCTCTGTGCTATGGTCATGGCAATCTCAATGTAAGCACTTGGTAAATACCCCTAGTCCTCTGTTCAGTTTCTATAACATCTCCTCTGCCCGCCCAGTGGTACCCAGTGGTAGTGGGCAGGGTCCCTTCAGAAGCCCATGATTTCTTACCCCAGGCAGGTGTAAAGTTGACCAGGAAGCCTAGCGGGGCAGGACAGAGAAGCAAGCTGCCCCCTCCCAGCAGCATCTTCCTCCTAGGGATTCTCCAGCACAGGAAGCCAGCCATGTGTCAGCTAGGGCAGAAATACCTGCTGTCTGTGTCCCCCTGGGCTCCCAAGAGATGAATAGAGTCCTGTCACAGGGCAGTATGTGTTGGGGACTGACTTCTAAATTATGACACAAGTAAGCACAGTCCCCAAGCATACTGGCCTCCCTCACACAGCACCACTGGGAAGTGCAGACCACAGGCAGACAGTGCCCGTCCGGAGCATGGCACCCAGCAGGGTGGCACTGGGAGGAAGTCTGCCTCGTGCTCATGCCATGCCCCACCTACACACTCACAAGGAGTCTGTGCTCTCACAGAAGTTCAGCAGCCAACCCCAGGGCTCTTTGCTGGATCTCCGTTGAACTGTTCCAAAGGAAGAGGGGAGGGTCCATTAACACAGAAAGAAACGGACTTGGTCAAGATATCACAGCAGTCACAGCAGGGGAGTTGTCAGGAGTCTGTCTGCAAAGTCTCCCGCTTTCGTGCCATTTCACACTGCTGCCTGGTGCCTATGCCCACATAGGACTATGCCCATATGTCCCAGGACTCATAGGAGCTGCGCTCCAGGACCTGGGAGGCCAGGAAGGAGTTTCCCCATTGGTGTCCCCACCCCATCTGCATCTCCCGCTGGTGATCACTCTCTCTTCCAAGGCCAAGACGCCCACACTTCTTGGCTCCCTGGAGATCCCACCTCACCTCAAGCCATCTTCACCCTTAACAAGTCTTTGGCAGGCTCCACTCCCTCAGCAAGGGTCCTGTTCCTTCACACCCACTAAGCCAAGTACAGGCCACCAAAGCCAGCCCCAGGCTACATGGTGGACACCACAGCTCACTCAGCAGATAGGACATTCCTGCCTGGATTCCCCTCCAGATTTCTGGTTCTTAGAACTGCCTAGGGCATGGAGTTTATACTATTGGGAGGAGAAATTAAGACAATGAAAAGGAAAGAAAGCTGGACCTCTGTTAGTGTTTTGGTGGCTAATTTAGCATGACCTTGGGTTAATGAGAAAATGGCTTGCTTCGGGTGGGGGGCAGCCCAGACCTCTCCTCTGTCTGAATATTCCCTGTGTTTGTTTCCCTAGAAGGCTAGAGAACCCTGGACACACAGTTCAGCAAGAGAGAGTGAAATTAAAAGAGGTTGTGAGTCTTTAACCTTGAGCCTGAAATGAATGTGAACCAATCCCAAATTCTTGGCTTCTTTGAAGCCGGGTAAACATTCGAGTATGTGGAGCCCATCTCAGAGCGGGGCCTATGCATCCCTCGGAGCCGCAGCGGTGGGCCAGGCCCCCGGCTCCTTGTCCAATGCACCCAGACCTAAAACTCTGCCGGGTCCCTTCTCTTTCCTCCGCCCTCATCCCCTGACATGGCCTCCACCCCTAGGTTCCATCTCTGAGGTAGGCAAGGAGGAGAAATGGAAGAGTATTTTTTCCCATATTTTTCCATTCCAGCTGCAGAGAGAACAGAAGTGAAGACTTGAGCTGGCCGTGGCGGGGTGTCCCAAACAGTCTCGTCCCTACAGTCTTGTCAGAGCAGTTCATTCTTTCTGTTGTCTCCATCCCAGGGGAAGGGCAGAGGGACCTCATCTCATTGTGTGTTGTCCCCCTACATTGTAAGTCACCCACATGTGAGGTGTCCCCACCGGCGTCCAACACTGAGCACTGAGAGCGGCAGTGATGGCTGCTGCTCCCATTGGGCAGACAGGAAACTGAGGCCTACAACACCTCTTTTGTTTTGGTCTCATTTCAGGGTGTCATGGTCCACTTGCCAGGACATCAGGGTATTAATAAACTCTACAGAGCCACAAGTAGGGTCTGCAGAGGCCAAGAACCTCAGGGCAGCCCCCACAGCTTTTACCAGATACCAGCTCTGAGGCAGGTGACTGGCCCTTGGTCGGCACCTGATGCCTCTTATTTAATGCACGATTCCAGCAAATGGGGTTCTCTGATTCCCAGCCCACAGCACATAAGCAGGAGAATGGAAAGAGATGCTTTTCAGAAGACAAGCAAACACCAGCACTAATAAGTGACGGCTGACAGAAAAGGCAGAAAACTTGAGGGGAAAAAAAGGCCAAACTGGGCCATCCTGCTTGAGACCAAGAAGGGAGGCTGTGAAACATGAAGTTAAATTCTTGTCTGTGTGCTCTGACTACGCGGGCACAGGAGCAGACAATGAGCTAGACGCATCTGCTCCCCAGGGAAAACAGACCTCAGCTAGCACACCAAGAACCAGCACCAGAGCCACCTGGAGACTCACACCTATAGAAAAGGGGGCCCCTGCCCGGACCAAGAGTGAACCTGGTCTAACCAGAGCTCAAGTCTAGGACCCAAGTCTCCTGCAGGGCTCCTAGCAGGAAAAGGAGCACCCCAAGGCCCACACCCCACCAGTCGACTCTGCCCTTCAGGGCTGCCTGTTTTCTCCTCTTGCTTCACCCTGAATCAGGCCTGGAAAGAGAGGAGCAGGCAGTTTTTGTCCCTGGTCGCACCAGACCCTTGAGATGACAGGCCCACTCTCCAGACCTAGAGAAGGGCCACCTCTCTTCCACCTGAGGGTCCATGAGCAGGACAGGGCACAGCAGAGAGGTGGCATGGGTTGCCCATAGCCAAGGCACAGAAGTAGAATGGCTGGAACTCAGCCTGGTCTTCCTGCTTCCATGACCAGGCCTCTGTCCGCTAGCCTTGAAGACCCAGGCCCAACCTCCCTCCGTTCTGAGGAGGAAAGACCACAACCTGGAGCCCTGGATCACCCTGAAGGTTCACACTTTGCTTGCTCGATCCCTCCCAGAGCCTCCCCGCCCCAGAGGCTGGGTTTGACCCTGAGTCTGGACTGTTTTTTAGTTTTGTGTTTTCAAAGCACAAATGAAGAAATAAACAAAATACCCCCAGGGAACAAGGGGATTAAAAAAAAAAAAAAAGCAAGCTGCCGTGACTGGCCAGGGCTTAGAGTCTATACTCGAGTGTTTACCTCCCACGTGCATGAAGGAAAGAAACGCTGGGTACCAGTGACTTCCTTTCACTTTGTCCAGGCTGCCGAGTGTGGCGTGTGTCCATCCACGTGTGCCATGAGGTGCCCGGCCCGGACATGGCATGTTCCTCCCCCAACCATCACTAGTCTGCTGGCTCCTGTGCTTCCTGGCTGCCCCCGCTCTGCACCTCAGAAAGCCCTGAGTGTCTTTGGTTGCTTTCCTGCCTTGGTTTGATGTCCTGTTCTCTGTGTGGCCTCTGTGTGTTTTCTCATTCTAACTCATCTCATCTCTCCTTCCTGTTCTTTTCTGTGTGGCACATAACCTGTTCCATGTAGTTTGGTTTCTTAACTGTGTGTGATTTTTTTTTAACACTGATTTTTTAAAAATAGCCTCTCCCTTCTCCTACTCGCCCCTTGACCCCACTCCTCTCTGCATGGTCAGGCCTCTGCCGGGAGGCTCACAAGGCTCAGTCCCTCATTAGGTCAAGGTGCCTGCTGGAGTGGACTGCTTCCCCTTACCACAGGGCCAGCATCTCTGATGGTGCTCAGTGACCCCTTCTGTCCTTCCTCAAACTATAATCCTGACCAAAACCAAAGCCATTTAATAAAACCAACTCATGGACGCACATAACCTGAGCCCTGGCTGTTCTCCGCTGCTGATTCTCATAACACTAGCGACATGGACTCTGGCCGAGCCCTCGCGGTGCACCCTTCCACTCGGCTCTGCTCTGCTCCCGGCCAGAGCCAGCCTAGGGCCCTGACCCTGTGCTTCCCTTGCAGATCCGCGTCGTGAAGGCCTTCCGTAGCTCTCTCTATGAAGGGTTAGAAAAGCCTGAGTCTCGAACCTCCATCCATAACTTCATGGCTCATCCTGAATTCCGGATCGAAGATTCACAGCCCCACATCCCCCTCATCGATGACACAGACCTGGAAGAAGATGCCGCACTCAAGCAGAACTCGAGCCCGCCATCATCACTCAACAAGAACAACAGCGCCATCGACAGTGGGATCAACCTGACAACGGACACGAGCAAATCAGCTACCTCTTCAAGTCCAGGGAGTCCCATCCACAGCCTGGAGACGTCGCTTTAGCTGAGGACCTGTTGCCTGCCTGCCTGCCGGCCACCCCCAAGAACCCCCTCCCACCTGGCTCCTTGGGCATCCTCCAGCCCTGGCTCCCTCATGCAGCAGGAACAAGGGGAAACCGCACACTGGAGAGAAACCGACATTTCCACCCACAGACGCTTTCGTTGGCTGCGATGCTGTTTGAACTCTTTCCCTCGGAGGCAAGGCGCGGACCTCCCCTGGGAGCACTGGGAATGAGAGGTTTCCCAGAAATAAGCCCTTCCTGGCTCCCACCCAGACACGGACCGGCCATGCACCGCCCAGCCACTGCATCCCCGCATGAATGTACTGGATACTTTCGATCTTCCCCTTGTTGGGTGTTTTGGGGGGCTGGGGAGGGGTTTTTGTTTGTTTGTTTTCTTAGGTGGGAACTTCAAACAGACTCTTTTTTGAGACAATTTATCCAATCCACTGGTCTGTGAGTTTTTGAAATGCTTGCACAGCATGGTCTCAGTTGTATAGATTAATTTAATAACTTTTTGAAATTGCAGAGCTTAATTCGCCTAATAGATTTGCACCAATGGAACTGAAGAACTCATAGACACTCACAAGATTGTATCCATTTCTTTGTATCTATATCAACGTATACTTCTCCAGGACTGTATACGTCCATATAGATAGGTAGATATATATATATATATATATATATAAATATATATACATGGATATATAAAGTTTCTTTGCCAGCATGTTGCCTTGTTTCTGCTTACATTACTCTATTTTAACTTATTTATGTCCTAAAGAGAAGAATGTAATTTGTTTACAAGCCTGTAGATACTGTCTTTGGCTATTTGTATGTTTTAAGAACACTGGTGGCTGAGATGCTATAAAAACAGCTTGGCCCCGCTGACCTTCCTGGACCGCATCCTCGATGTTTTACAATAGCCATGCTCTTACTTTGCCTGCTGTTTCTGTTTCAATCGCATTACTACTGTGAAAGGCTCAGACAGAAGCCAGTGCTACTGAGGATCCATCTCAGGGTTCACCGACTCACTCTGGAGATGAAAGGGGACTAGGAGAGAAGTCCCTGCATGTGCAACTTGAGTGCCCACCCCACCCAAGGGTGTCAGACTCTACAAGGCACTGGGAAAAGGCTTTTCTCTCAATGAAATTCACTGAAGTTTACCAGGAACATTTCCAAAATAGGTTATCTCTGGTACTGTCTGTAGAGAGGGTGAAGTAGTGATAAAATATTCTAAATGGTATTGAGTTGATTTTTTTAGTAATTTAGAGGTTTATTTCTTTATAAAGGGCAGCATAAGAGCTGTTGGAATATTGAATAAGGCTCAGTATGGCTTGCTACTTTTATTTTTATTTTGAAGAAGAATAACCTTTTTCTCTGCACTATTTAGATCCAAATGAACCTTATGACATGTATACTGAGATGGATTCAGTGTGATTTTTAAACCAAACTGTCTTCCTGTAGTCACAATATATGTTGTAGCCTTTTAACAGCAAGTCTTGCTTCCCCAGACAGAAAGCCATTCTGAACCCTCCCGTGTCACAGGTGAGAAAGGCGATTACTTCCCCCAAAACAATAACAGCACTAGTAATCCCACTTAATAAGAGCTCATTGAATTGTGTCTTGGCCTCTAAAGTGCTAAGCACTTTGTGGGTCTCAGCTTTTTTCATAAAAGAACTTTTGTATTTAACACAAAGTTTGCTCTGAGACTTTTCGGCATATGATCTTTTTCCATAAACTTGTACAGTGCAAAAGACATTTTGAATACCATGATCAATGATGGCCCATGCTTCAAGGAAAACCAAAACCATTCCTCATGCTGACCCTCCCATGACTGCTCAGTGTCAGCCCTGCTTCTGCCCTCCTCCAGGCCCAGAGAACTCTTCCATTAACAAGATGAGAGCCACTTGGGAACAGAGCCATAGTCAGCTGGGAGGGCCTACATCTAATAGCTGTGGAAAACCCAAGAGGTTTGGGGTTCGAAGTCAGCCCATCCCACCTGGCAACACCTCTCTGTAAGGAGGACCTTCTGTATGAGAAAGCACCACCTGAATGTCGAGAAGAACTCTGTCTCTGAATGTATCCATCGGAGGATACCTCATCCCCAACCACAGGGGATGACTCTCAGATGCACGTGCTGGCTTCTGCTACAAACACCGTGAAAGCCTGCCTGCCACATACCTCCGTGGAAGGAAGGATGTGCTGCCAGGAAACCTTGCAGCACGGTGGGTTTTCCTTTCTCACTTTTCCATCTTCCCTCTCTCTGTTTGGCCATGCACCTCTGACCTCTCTCCACGATGTCAGGACCATTGGGCTTGCACACCAGGCTCGCTGTGCCGTGGGGCCAGAACCCAAGGCAGATGGGAGGTGTCTCCGAGTGGACCTCACCTGGGAGGTAAGGAGCCATAAAAGCTACCAAGAAGGTCCGACATCAGTCTTGTCTCATCTCGTCTCATCAGGAATGATGATTACACCTGTGCCCTCTCACTCATACATGTTCACACACATTCACACATGCACGCACACAGGATACAGATGGTCTGTCAAAACTCACTATAGTATGGTTTGTCAAAACTCACTGTAGTACACACAGCTTGCACTCTGCGTCCTATATCTAGCAGCATGGGGTACGTTTGGCAACTCACCCCACTAGGGGGTCAATAATTTATGACCATTCATCTGTTTTTATGAATTTTTTTATCTAGACAATAATTGTAAATAAAGAACTCACCGTCTCTGTTCATTTAATACTATGCAATGGTTATGCTTTCAATTGCTGATTTTTCTGACTTCTGCAGTGTGGTTCTGAGATGTCTATAGTTTTACAAAAAAAAAAAAAGGCAAAAAAACCTCATTGGACAGATCACAGTGAATATATCCTGTCACGTATACTCTTGTATGGGGACCACGGTGCTCCCCTGAGCTTCTTTCCTGCCTCTGCACAAGAACCCCAGGGGCAGGCAGCCACCCCCACTCTGAGGTATAAGCTCATCAACCTGTTGATGAGGAGAAGCAAGGAACCCACTCAGTGACTCCAGAATCTACTGAGTCACCTACCTCCAGAGAGACAGGGCGGGCACTTGCAAGGCTCGAGAGCTTCCCTCTCTCTAGAGCAGCCTCTGTGCTCCCCCAGCCCCTGTCCCAGCCATACCACAGAATTGACAGAGAGAGGGAGGGTGCTCTTCCACTGAGACCGGGCCAATGAATGTGGCTGTTCAGAGCCTGGACTCTAAGACTGCCTTAGCCTGGTGCCCCCTTAACAAAGAACCATTCTCTCCCCAGTCCTGCTCCAATGCCACCTTGACTACCTGGTGACACTGTTTATTGACTTGGGCTCTTTAACTTCTGTTCCCTCATCTGGGTGCCTTCTCAGGTACCAGCCACACAGTTTTAATTATTGTTACTTGCGAATGTTTTATTGTGTGGTGTGATGAGTCCTTGTACTCTCCTTTTGCAAAATTTCTGGTTATTCTCTCACATCCTTCTTCTAAGGAAACATTAAAGTCTTGCCAGGTCCTCTGTTTCCTGTCTTCCTCCAGCCCCAATGCTGAGCCTTGACACCAACTTTGTCTTCTCCCCTCACTGTAATTATTGTCCATGCAAGGCTACTAAGTCCAGTGTGTCCTGACAGGAAAAACAAAAGAACTTTCTGAACCAAGGGAAGCCTAGTGTTCCTCGCATCATTTCACCTGTCCCCTCAACCCAGGAATGGGCATGACAGTCACTGAGCCGCCAGCGCCCTGTCTTGTTATGCTGGGAACGGGCCCTCCATCCGACCCTGGTTCAGATGAGAAAGGGGGACTCTCCCAGATCCAGAGCCACAGCCCTAGCTAAGAGAGAGCACAGGGCCCGGCTATCTGTCTACCATGAAGACGTGTACTCCTCTCTCCCTTTCCTGAACTGGTTTTGGTCATTTTGTTTTTGTTGGAAGTTTTTTGTGGCGGGGGCTGTTCTTGAGGTCAGCGCTTCAGCACCTTTGGGAGAAATTTTCTGTCAGGATGTTCTCAACACCACCACTTCCCTCCCTCCCTGCTCTGCCTACAGGAGGCCAATCTGGCGCCACTCTGACACATCTGCCACCAAATTTCTCCTGCTGTCACACCTGAGATCCCACACTTAGAGGATCTGACCAGGAGGAGGCAGTGCTGCTGAAGGCTCACAGCCAAGTCTATGGTCAGATGACAGGAAGTCCCTGGGTCTTTTCCAAATTCAAAATCAAGCCCTCTGATTTTAATGTAGAGATCCAACCCACCAAGGAGAGGAGGAGGATTCTGGGCCCTGGGAAGCCGCCCTTCCCCTCTCTTCTAACAGATCAGAGACAGCTTTGACAACCTCCTCAGCCTGCTATCTTTTGTAATGTCCGTGGTGCTTTCTGTCCTGGGCCTTTCCTCTCGAGGGTAGCCACACTTCGCTAACTCTTGCGTGCACATCTTTTATAACAGAGTATTGAAGGAATGGTGCCGCCTCCAGCTTCCACAAGCTGCCCAGGCTCTGGGGGCTCTGGGACAATCGGGGTTGGAAAGTGACTGTGCTCTATTGTACACTTTATTTCTCTGTATCTCTGGCTTGTGCTCTTTGTAATTCATGGGATTTGTCTGCCTTTTCAACACTATACTGAGCAATAACAATAAATGCACACGTGGAAATGCAGACGTACCCATCACAAAGCCTTTTTCTGCAGGACAGCTGGGCCCCAAACCCCCATGGGTTTGAGTTCAGGGAAATCGAGTCCCTGGTTGGGAAAGTTACTTTGCTCCCTTTCTACCAAGTCACCTTTTGTGTGCCCACCATCCGAGCTTAGCCTATCATGAGCCATTAAGCCATCAGGAAGAGCTAGCTGCCCATCTCAAAGAGGAAACAGGGCTTCAGGAGTGAAGAAAGCACAGCCAGGGGCAAAGGTTCCAGGAAACAGAGGGCAAAACTGAAGAAGGCTGAGAACGGACTAATTTGAGGTCTAGGGTTAATCAAATGGACATATAGACACAGGATACAGATGGCATCCCAGGAGGCAAAGGGGAGTTTGGCACTCTGGAGTAAATTAGCAAAGAAAAGTAATATGCCCAGACCAAGAAATACTGCCCAGTGTTGGTTCAGATATTGAAAGCTATCAACACAATCCCAGCTCTTTTTAAGATGGATTCTTAGATCAAACATATTGGCCCATCCAACTTCCAGTTTCACGTACAAGGTTCATTTGATCCCAAATCTGCTTCCTGAGGAGATACTATATTCAAAAAGTCTGAAACTTTTAAATGCTGATAGGATGACACAAGTAGAAAATTCCACCCTGAAAAGGTTTATCTCATGCACAAAATTATTTAAAATATCATATAAATTACCTCCAGGTTATATATATATGAAATAAAACATAAGGGCAGGTGTGGTGGCACACACCTATAATTACAGCACTTGGGAGGCTGAGGCAGGAGGATCATTGTGAGTTGAAGGCCAGCCTGGGTTACAAAGTGAGTTAAAGACCAGTCTGAATACCCATCTCAAAAAAAAATAAATAAATCAAACATAAATGAGAGGATGGGGATTTAGCTCAGTGGCATAAGCACTTGCCTGTTAAGCTCAAGGTCATGAGTTTGATCCCTGGTACCAAAAATAACAATAATTATATATATGAATGTTGTGTTCAAAATTGGGTCTCATTTCCCAAGATATCTCATTCTGGATATGCAGATATTTCAAAATTTAAAAAAAAAAACTAAAATCTGAAACACTTCTGGTTACAAGCATTTCAAATAAGAGGATACGTAATCTGTACTTTTATCACCCACGTAACAGACGAGGAGCAGTAAGAGGTGAAATGTGCATTTACACAAGTAGGAACGCACAGTACCAGCACCTCCTCCACTTAGTGTCGGTGTCCCCCTCAATCTCTGTATCACTATGCCATTTGCAACACCCACAAACATCTGAATGATAAGTCATTTCACTGCTAGCCCCAAATTCTCAGTTTCTTCAACATTTATACCAGGACATGTCTGTGCCAGCAACTATCCCTTCTGCACGGTATTCATATCTAATATGCCCTTGTCCCCATTTTTCACTGGGGGAAGGTAAAGCTCAGAGAAGTGACTGGGCCTTATCAGCCAGAGGCTCAGGGTGCTGCTACAGATCCGAGGCCAGGGACTGTCCCTGAAGAACAGGCCAAGAACCCACCCCTCCACTCCAAGCACCCCCGCCACCTTGCACTTTTTCTCCATTGATCAGGGGAAGAGAAATCTCAGAAGCTAGGGAGCTAGTGGAAGGCTGGGTTGCTGACACCCCATTCCCGTGGTCTCTCAGGGCTGCCTGCCCTTTGATACTCTCTGAGTTCTAGTATCTTAGTGGGCCTCTGCAGCTCAGGCTCTCACCCCAGGAGTGACAGAGGAAACTGCAGGATGTGACTTCTTCACCCAAGGCTCTATCCGGCAGTCCAGTGTTCTCGCTGTGTGCTTCTGGGGAGACCTCAAGGGCCTTTCTTTGGGGGCGCAGGGAATGGGTGCTGGGAACACGGGTGGAGGTGGAGGCCGGTGGTCTAAACCTTCCTGGCCTGGAGGAATCTGATGGCCCAGACTCACAGCGTCCCCGGGACTTGTTTGGAAGGGGCAATCTGCAGTTTCTGAAGTCGTTGGTCTGGGTTAGGGAGGGCAGGGAGACTGACGACAGACAACCAGAAAGAAGCACTAAGACTAGTCTACTCGCTGCTCGCAACACACACACCATTGCTCTACAGTTTACCCTACAGACTCGCAAGAAAGCGTGCCACACTGTCACTAACTTTGGAAAAAGGAAGGTAAGGTTTGGTCTGGGTAGAGGACCCATCAGAGCTTCAGATCCAGAGCCTACGGTCAGGGCCTCCACCGCAACCAGAGCCCGCCCTCGAGGTTTCGAGCAGTAAAATGGGGGCGGAGCCACGCCAGGGCGCGGTGCGGCCCCAGAGAGACCCGGAACCTTGGTGCGAGCTGAGCTTGCTGCAGCCCGGAGGCTCTGGAGCGGTGGCCCGTCAGCTCGCCTGCCCGACGCCGGAAGTGAGCCTTTTCGAGGCGCCACCGGGAGTTGCCACGTCTGATACTCCAAGTCGCCGTCGCCGCCGCCGCCGCTATGGTGAGTGTTGCGGCTGGAATGTCGAACAGAGTTCATTCAGTTCCACTCGACTGCGTCGAGTTTGAGGTGCTCTGGTCCTATCCTGCGAACCTTGGGAGCGGTTGGCCGGGGTGCGGTTGCAGAACCTATGCGCCGCTGCCGGGCCCCCTGCGTGTCCCTGTCCCGTCCTTGTCTCCCTCGGCGAGACAACGCCAGGGACACCGTTGGAGCTGGGTATACCGAGCCTGCGGCAAGTTTGAAGGATAGCAGTGATAATCGAGCGTCCTTTTCCATTCTGTTCCACATCCTACTTCCCAGCAGAAATTAACTGGGGTTGCCAGGGATGACTTCAAAAAGCTGACGGAAGGACAAGCTGAATGATTTTGAGGACAGGGTCCAGGGTTTTCCCATTTTAGTGTGTAGCATAAGTTCGCTGCACTCTGACTCACTGAGTGAATGAATGAGAATTAATCGATAAAGTCTTCAAGACTGGGTTTGCCACAGCCTAGTAAATGTATGCACCTAAGAAACGGGGATGCCTCACCGCCAGTCTGAGAAAAGCTGTGTGAACTTAGAATTCAGGAGCGTGGCTTTCATTCTTACTCTTCTCTTCGAGCAGCGAGATGTTAAATTGCCCTCCACTTTGGACCTCTAATTCTGCTGCCTAATAGAGTTGGGACACTATGCTCGGTAATCAACTAGTTCTAAGTTAGTTTCATGTGATCCTGAAGAGGCGTTTTAAGTGCTATTGCTTGCTATTTAACTATGACCTGATAAACGCAGAGGCTTGGGAGGAGATACTACTCCCAATCTTTAGTCGGTCAGGTGGCTGCGATTGACTCTGCCCTTGGTACCTCCCAGCATGTGAAAGCACTTTGTAACCTGGCTAGCTTGAGAAGACACTTCTTCCTTTCGTGCCTTTGCAGACCTGGGAGCCCACTTATTATGAAGTCTAGAATTTGCTGAGAGAGAACCTTTGTCTGCCTCCTCAGCTGCTTTACCCACCATCCTTTCCCGGGGGTCACCTTTCTGAAAAGTTAAGTTGGACTTTATACTGCAGGGTTTGCACTGGGAAATAGATGCAGGTTGAGGAAAGTTGTAAAAATGTCAGAAATGTAATCTCAGCACTCTGAGAGGCAGAGGCAGGAGGAACTGATCAGTTGAATGATTTGTTAAAATTACTGAAAATTTGCATAGAAGCAGAATAACATATAGGTACAGTAGAAGCCAAATTACGCTGTTTATTTACTACTACAGACTTGAAGAATACTTAACCACAGACAGAAATAGTCACTTCTAAGGGAATTTTGTTTTTCCAGTTTTCCATAAAATAAAGGTTATAGTGAATGTACCTTTATTATTGGAAAGAAAATAAAGAGTAATGTAAAAATAAATTACTAAATAAAAAGGATAGGGGTGTAGCTCAGTGACAGGACACTTGCCTTACAATACCCAGTAAACAAAATTTTGAGAAGATGAGGGAAGAGAAAGGAGGTCAAGGACCAAGATCTTGAGTCTGTTGCAAGAGGTAGACCATGGAGCAGCCTCAGGAGAAACTTGCATTAGGCTTAGATAACCCTATACTGCATAAATTTCCTGGGATATCAGAAGTTCCATCATCTGGGAAGGGAGTAACAGCTCTAGCTCCCTCCAGGTCCTCCTTCCCGTGTGTGAGCAGCCAGGACTGCTTGCTTTTACCCAGTGCCCCCATTTATATCATGCTGTCACATTTTTCCTCCCTTCCTATACCAGTAGACCTTGGGCCTTGGCCGATTCCCCTTGGGCCATCTGGCAGACTCCTCTTCTGAGGCCATTTGTATCTAACACCACCACCACCACTCAGCTTCTGCAGTGGATGTAAACTATGCTAAAAGGTCGACTTTGCCATCTTACAATTATTTATGTACAGGCTTCTCAGAGGCAAGAAGTGCAGCCATTGGCACAGTCCTCAGCAAAAGCAAGGCCCTTAGAGTGCGTGCTATACTGAATGAGTGACCAAAAATATGCAGTCAGGAATTTCAGAGCCAGGATTGGTAGTTCATACCTATGACACTAGCACTTAGGAGGCTGGGACAGAAGGATTGCTATAGGTTTGAGGCTATCCTGGGTGACATAATGAGTTCAAGGCCAGCCTGAACTACATAGTGAGACCCTGTCTCAAAAAAAATAGAAGTAATTACACATCTAATAAGATGATTATATTCTGTCACTTAACTGCAATGTCTTTGGTTCTAGGTGTCTGTAATTAACACCGTGGACACCTCCCATGAGGACATGATTGTAAGTATTCACTTAAGCTTTCTAAGGCTTTAGACATAGGCGTTTCCATGGGAGTTAAGCAGTTTGGGCTTCTCATTACCACTTTCTGCTGATCGTTTATGAATCTGAGTGTGGCAGTAGTTGCCAGTCAGACTGTACCTTCAAGGGTGTGGTCATTCTCCCAGCAGTGTTTTGTGAGTTGGCAAGGCTACGATAGTCTGGTCACGCTGCTGAGGGCAGCCTCAGAATGGTTTGTAACACCATAATCTGCTCTTGCTAACAGGGCACAGAAGTTTACAGCATTCTCCCCACCTGTTTTCCTCCCCTTGTCATTTCCTAGCCACATTGGAAGGGGATTAACAATGAAACCATAGAAAGTTAGGGCTGGGGATTTAGCTCAGTAGTGCTACCTGGTAAGTACAAAGTCATGAGTTCAGTCCCCAGTACCAAAAAAGAAGAAACCATAAGAAGTTGCCCCAAGAGAAAGTCCAGGAGCACCCACAGCCAGACAAGGCCCCAGAGCCATGAGTTTCTTGGGTATTGCCTAGGGCCAGATATACAGGTTTCGGTGTGGGAGGTTAGGGCCTGCAGGAGACAGTCCAGGGCTTACTGTTTTCACCAGGAAAAGCAGACGACTTATGTGGAACCTCACAGGCAGGGCAGCCTTTGAGCAACACCCAGGGCAGTTGACAGCGTTCCACACTAGGGTTCCTGCCCTATGTCTTGTCCACCAGCAATTGCTTTTAGATTCTAAATTGTCTGGTGTCAGAGTCACCTTTGTGGCTTGGTTTCTGTCATTCACTTACAAGGACATGGTTCCTTGAAGCTGATGTCCCACCATGGACAAAAAAGTCCAGTCTGAGACTTTTTTAGGCAATGAACTCAGGTTCATTGCCTTCCCTTTTGTGAGTCTCAGTTCCCTTATGGAAAAAATAATACACCAACTACCTGTATAAGTTTGATTTGATAAGCAGGTAAAGCAAAGTAATAATTAGAAATAATTTTCATGCTTGCTGGGTATAGTGGCACATACCTGTAATCCTAGAACATGGGAGGCCAAGGCAGGAGGATCACTGAGTTCAAGGCCAGCCTGGGTTACAGAGCAAGACTCTGTCTCCAAAAAACAAAAGTGAAGCTCAGGGAAAGTGAGCTATTTTCAAAGATTGTCCAGCAGATACGTCACAGAGATAGGATTTACATCTCTGGGGTACTCTGTCCTATTTCCTCCCACAGTATGACAGAGTATGCAGAGGAGCTTGAGAAATCACCTACTCTGCCTGCTTCCAAGAAGACGAGATCTGGTACAGTGAGGGGACTGACTTCCAAGGAAGAATCCAAACATTTTCCTTAGGTAGGGAATAAGAAAGGAACACTGAAAATACAATGAAATGCTTCCTTGGAAAGGTGATATTTGCTCCTGGTGAGCATAGGAATGATAGTGATTCCTGAAACTTCCACAGGGGACAGCTAGGAAAGTGGCGTCTCTTGCTCTAGGTAGAGCCAGCAAGTAAGAGGAGCGAAGCTGTTTGGGACAGTAGGTCCAGTGCCTCCATGGAACCATTGCCCAGATGGGCAAGGAACTGTGGGCAAGTGCCAGCCCGCACTCTAGAATTCACTAAGTGTGGGGGGGACCTGTGTGCCTAAGGCCTTGTTTGCTTTGGGTGGGGAGTCTGGTACCCTGGGCACTTTACTAGGAAGAAGGCCCACCAGGAACCTGGGGGCCAAGGGAGGAGAAAAAACCCAGACATCTGAGTGGAACCCTGAGTACAGGCTCCAGATGCATCACAGAGCACCTGATCAGGGCCAACAGGCAGTCAGAGGCCTGTGCTCAATCTTAGTTTCAGGTCTAAGGCTGAGCTGAACTTTAGGATATCTTCCTCATTAGTCCACCGAGCTTCAGGACGGAGTGAGGATGGTACAAAAGGGCAACTAGGCTAGTCTTTTCTCCAGTACCCACCAGGGTAGGAAAGGGACCTTCCTTAGAGCAGATAAAGGGTCTGTAAAGCCAGCTTCAAATGGTGTAGCTTGTCCCTTTCAGGAAGACATCGCCTACAAAGACATGAGACTTTAGCTTGCTAGCTTCTTGCCTAGTGGTGATGATTCTTTGAGATGGAATTGTTGAAAGTGGGTGTTGGTCCAAACTAGATTCCAGTAGCTTGCCTTCATCCACCCCGCCGCCCAGCCTGCAAGCTTCCTGAGCTGACCTTCCTTTGTAGCACGATGCCCAGATGGATTACTATGGCACTCGCCTGGCCACCTGCTCCTCAGACAGGTCCGTCAAAATCTTCGATGTGCGCAATGGAGGGCAGATCCTCATTGCTGACCTCAGGGGGTAAGTGTCATCAAGCCAAGGAGGGTCCCTGGGAATGGTATGGCTTTGCAGGCCCTCCACAGCATGATCAGCCAGGATGAGCACCTAGAGTCACAGCAGCCTCATGTGTGGGGATGCTGTCCTCAGAGATGTCCCCAAGGTGACACTGGTGGCCCCAGGCAGGAACACTGGCTCAGCCTACCATATTTTCATTCTAACCCAGTAAGACTGCCAACTCCTGACAGGCTGCATTACCCCCAGGTAGCCTTCACTTTGGGCAACTACTGCTTCATTTAAAAGTAGTAAACAAGCCAGGCGTGGTAGCTCACGCCCGTAATCCCAGCACTCGGGAGGCTGAGGTGGGAGGATCGTTGTGAGTTCAAGACCAACCTAGGCTACAAAGTGAGCTCAAGGCCAGCCTGAACTGCATAGTGAAAACCTGTCTCAAAAAAAAAAAGTAGTAAACGGTACCATTTTGTGCATGTTCAGTCAGTGCGTTCTAAAATGTCAATTGATGTCAGATGTGGTGGTTGCACATCCCAGCACTTGGGAGCTAAGGTAGGATCGCCTCACGTTCAAGGCCAGCCTGGGCTAGGTAGTGAGACCCTTGTCTCAAAAAAAAATTGAACCATCACATACGAGTGTCATAGTAAGAATGTCAGAATCGTTTTGTAAATCCTGTTCTATCTTATTTGTACATGACAGATGTCAGATGGCTGTTTACAGATGTTTGGCCCACACTTCTCCCGCTAAGGTTCTAGCTCTTATTTATGGCCATCTCTCTATTGTATTCCTGCAGTTCACTAGCAGTTCACTCACACAATTGTGGGATTTTTCTCTGTGATCCATGGGTCTCCAAGGGTTCTGTAGATGGAATTCAGACTGGTGAGCTGCAGCAGGGAAAAAACAATCACTTGTTTATTTTCTTCTTCTTCTTTTTCTTTTTTTTTTTGGTCTTTGAGACAGAGCCTCACTATGCAGTTCAGGCTGGCCTTGAGCTCACTTTGTAGCCCAGGCTGGTCTTGAACTTGCAAGGATCCTCCTGCCTTGGCCTCCCAAGTGCTGGGATTACAGGCGTGAGCCACCACGCCCGGCTCACTTGTTTATTTTCAGTGACTATTTAGCATTGCCTTCAATTTTGGAAGAAGGCCAAAAGCCATAATAGCATGTGTAGCAACTATCATTTTTTCACCAAGTGCTTGCATTTTTCATTAGTCATTATAATTTAGAGGGGCTGGGAATATAGCTCAGCAGCCTGCCTAGCAAGCACAAGGTCTTGAGTTTGAGTCCCCTCAAAAAAGAATCACTATAATTTAGAATATCATTTATGCTCATCAGATGACTTTGAAATTGCAGAGATTAGAGCTGCCACTAGAGTTTCTGCTTGATGCATTAGTATTAGAAGCACATGTATCACTAGCTTATACATTTTTTATACATTTTGATAACTGCATTTCAGGATAGTAGGGTTTTCTTTGTAACTGAGTTTTATACTTCATGCATTACCCTGAGAAGGGGTTGATGACTTTCACCAGACCACACAAGATAGTAAGCAGGTGCTCAGCATGTGTTCAGTTGAATTAAAACAGAAACTGAGTCAGTGTCCATGTGGGGAAATGGGCTACAAGGTCCTCTCTTCTGAGTGCTAAGGATCAAGAGACTGTGAAGAATTAGACACTGTCTTCCTGCAGTAGCCCCAGCTGAACAGTGCCCCTGGGCAGACTTAGTCATTCTTAATTACTTTCTTGTTGCTGCTACCCTGAGTCAGAGATTTCAGTCCAGTTAGCTGTCTCCAAGGTAGAGCAGCATGGCAGAGAAAAAACAGATGGCAGAGTAGGTAGGAAGCAGCCGGTTTCTTTTTTATCCCACCAGGCTAAATCTTACTGGTTGGTGCCACACACACATGCAGGGTGGGCCTTCCATTATCCATACCCAGAACTACACTAAATTACAACACACCATTAATCCATATTCACACCCTAGATCCAGACACCTCTGAAAAGCCCCACCTATGAGTGCATGAGCTTTGGAGGGACATCTAGACACAAGCCACAGTACTGATCGTCTACTTTGTTTCTTATGCTCAAAAGATGCAAAATACTGGAGGGATTTTAAAAAAAAAAAAATCACCCTTTTGCCTCAGTTCTAACTATGACGATATCGCTTATGAGTCTGCTCGGTTTCATCAGCAGCTCCTTTGTAAGCAGTGTTGTCCCCGAGAAGGAAGTGGCTGGATCCCTAGAGCCACAGAGTAAATAAGGGGCAGCTGGTCAGCTAATTGACTGACTGGGTTTTTCCTTCTTGTACTAAGCATTTTTCTAAGTTCTATACATGAGTTTCCACATTTAACCCTCATGACTATGCAGTGAAAGAGGTCTTAGTGACCACTCCACTTGCACGTGAAGAGACAACCATAGAGAAGATACCGCCCTGGCCTAAGCCATGAGCTCAAGACTGGGAATGGGAGCCGGCACCCACCGCCACTACACCACCCTGCCCCTTGTTTGCTGAGGCACACACCCTTCCCTGGCTAGAGAGATGATGCCTGTAGAAGGCCTCACAGTGTGTGCTCAGATGGTACCTGTCAGCAGAAGAGAAGGGAAAGACATGCCTTTGAGCAGATGAAAGGGCAGGAGGAAAGAGAGACTGCCTACTCAAGAAGTTAGCCTTCTGGCAAGATGTCTTGCAACTCAGTCTGCTGAGCGCGAGCCTCTGTAAGCTCTCACTTGATGAACAGCTGCTGAGAAGAGCAGAAAAGGCAGTATAGGCTGCAGTGTGGCAGGTGAGGTTCCGTCTGGCTGGCATGGGCTCTGACTTGAGAGTTGGGACTCTTAGGCTCTGACCTTGTTTACTGAGCCTCTTGTGGCGCTGGTCCAATAGCTGCCCATTCACAGGGATGTCTGTAACTCTCCCTTTTGAAATTCTTAGGTGGACTTTGTTTCCCTCTGCCAGGAAAGCCATTCAGTCCTGTCCAAAACTGCTTGGTAGAGGTTCCCATAGCCCCTGAACAACCTGTCCCCTCCCTTTGCAGTCATGAGGGTCCTGTGTGGCAGGTGGCCTGGGCCCACCCCATGTATGGCAGTATCCTGGCATCGTGTTCCTATGACCGGAAAGTCATCATCTGGAAAGAGGAGAATGGCACCTGGGAGAAGACCCATGAGCACTCAGGGCATGACTCCTCAGGTACAGTGATTGGTCAGGTGGGCTCTGTCCTGACCTCACCCTAGTTCCCGTCCCTCTGTCCTGCTGCGGCTGTGTCCCTGGGCTGAGGTTGGCTCTCCTGCTAGTCTTCACAGTTGAGGTGTGACCTGAGAACTAAAAAGCCCCACAACACAGTGGGTGTTTTAGATTATTCATTTTAAGTACCAGCCTTTATTCTCATTTTGTTAAAGTAGAAGAGTTTGTGAGATGATACTTGTGTGTAATAGGGATTTTTCTAATATCTTTAATTGAAAAGTTACAGCTGCTTCTGATAGGCCCTGCAGCTTTCTTAGGATATAGCTCAGTGGCATGGTGCCTGCCTGGCAGGAGTGAGGTCTGAGTTCAATTCCTAGTCCACCCCCAAAATAAAGAAAAGAACTTTCAGCAAGAACTTAGCAAAGTGATCTGTCTGCAGCTCTGGCCCTGCACCCCCTGTTCCCCTTTCAGCCCCTGCACCCTCTGCTCACTGTGCATCCTGTATCCTGCAGTAAACTCTGTGTGCTGGGCCCCCCATGACTATGGCCTGATCCTGGCCTGTGGGAGCTCGGATGGGGCCATCTCCCTGCTTACCTACACGGGTGAAGGCCAGTGGGAAGTGAAGAAGATCAACAATGCTCACACTGTAAGTCCAGCTCCTGCCTCCCTGAAGGGTGTGGCCCTGTCACCTGGCACAAGTCTCCTGTGGGCTGAGGGGGTGCGGGTACCACAGGGCAGTGGGCCGGGAGGGGCAGCAGAGCAGATGTGCTAAGCCTCTGATCTTCAGCCTGCAGCTGTCCCAGCCTCCTTCAGCCCAGAGCAAGAACTGGTGCAAGTCAAGGAGAGTTGGCTATGCAGAGAGACAGTTACACTTCAGGGTAGCATGCTCTGTCATAGTTGGGGAAAACAGATTTGTGGAGTCTATACTGTGTGTCTTATAATTCTCACAAACATTTATGAATGAAAGAATGTACCAGCAAAGTACAGATTTTCAAGGCTCACCCTGTCATAGTACCTATTAGTGTTCATTCCTGGTGGCTGGATAATACTGCATTTGGAATACAGTGTATGCATCACATTTATTCATCCATCAGATAACAAATACTTTTCAGTAGTTGTGAGTAACTATGCTGTGAGCTTGAGCCATACAGTAATTCTGTATCTAACTTTCTGAGGAACTACTAAACAATTTTGCAAAGTAACTGCACATTTTAACACACCCAGCCCTATTTGAGGTTCTAATTTCTCTACATGTTGCCAACACCTGTCTTTTTGATTATAGCTGTCCTTGTGGGTATGGAGTTTATTGTGTTTTTATTTTAATCTTGCTAATCAAAGAGGATGCTTTTGGTCATTTGCATATCTTTAGAAAAATGGGATTGTGTCCTCTCCTATACCAAGTGAGCACAAGGGGCCGTGGTGAGAAAGACTAACGTGTGACAACCAGGACTTGCTTCTAGGACAGATCTCTTTTCGAGGATGGATGGTTGGGGGGAAATCAAAATGGAGCTGCTAGAAACATGGGTGGGAGAGAAGCTTAGACCAAGCCAGGAAAGGGGGCAGAGCCAGAAGCTTCTGAGCATGAACTGCCATCTCACAAAACAAGAGTTCTGAGCTCAGCAAGGCTTGTCTTGCCTTACTTGATTAGGAAAACTACTCTCACACCTCACCTCAAGTAGAAAGATAGACCAGAGTTGTAGCTCAGTGGTCGAGGCCCTTGGTTCCATCTATAACATGGCAAGAAAAACAAAAAGGAATTACATGTATAAAATTCTCAAGGAAAGAAAATGTCAACCCAATGTCCATCAATAGGTAGGCAAATGAAGACATGGCAGTGTGTCTGTACTGGAGAAATGCTACACAGCCATGGAAAGAACAGCTGTTGACCCACACAAGATGGATGTATTTTAAAGTAATTGTGCTGAGTGAACAAAAACCAAGGGAAAAAACATTCTATGGATTCTATTGCTCTAAAATTCTGGAAAATGCAAGTTAATCTATAGTGAGCAGATCTATGGTTGCCCACTGTGGAGGCTACAGGACTGAGAGGTGGAGTTGAGTGGGAAAGGAGGAAACCTCTGGTGTGCTGCATATGTTCACTGTCTTGATTCTACTGTGGTTTTATAAGACATATCTGTGTCAGAATTCATCAAACCATGCACTTTTATGTGCAGTTAAAGTCAGTTATGGAGCCCGATGTGGTGGCCCGTGCCCGTAATCCCAGCACTCAGGAGGCCAAAGTAGGAGGATTGCTGTGAGTTTGAGGCCAGCCTAAATTGCATAGCGAGATCTGTCGCAAAAAAGACCAAAAGAAATAAAAGTAGATTATGCTCTCAAAGCTGTGACTGTTAATCTGGATGGTCAGTCTGACTGGATTAGGAGACTCCAGAGAGGTGGCTGGGTGGTAAAAGCACTAACCTCACTGGTCATCGGCCAGATGGGCTATTGGGAGGGGAGGCTGGTAGGAAGAAGTAGGTTAGAGGGGTGCAACTTTGGGGTCTGTATCTGTTCCCTGGCCCCTACCCCTCCATTGTGCCTGCCTTGGTGCTAGGTAGTCCTTCATTGTATTCTGTCTCAGAGATGCAAAGCTGACCAACACAACGCCATTTTTTAAATTTACTTAGGAGCATAGACGATACAAACTGCTGTCAGTATGCAAGAGTCAGAGACTGTGTCCTAGCTTTTGAAGGACCAAGCTGAGTCTCCAGCCAAGTGTTCTCAAAACCTCAAAGGAGCATGGAGGGCAGAGTGCACCAGCAGAGCAGCGAGGGGACCCTGGTCAGAGAGAGCAGGCACCTTCCCAGGGAAGCTGTAAGGGAGATGGGAACAGCTGCAAACTGGGAAATAGGAAAGTTCCTCCCCTTTGGGGGTTAAGGGGGGGGTCTTGGGATTGAACCCAAAGCCTTTGCACCCAGCTGTAGCCCTGGTTCTTTTTTATTTCAAGATAAGGGCTAAGTTGTCCCGTCTGAGCTTGAATCTGGCAGTTCTGTCAGCCTGCCAGAGTACTGGGATTATAGGTGTGTGCCACACTGTAGTGTCTAGGGATGCATGTTTGAGAGGCAAATCAGGCAGGGAGGGAAGGGACAGAGAAGTCTGGGTATTGGGAGATGAGAGTCTGTGTTAGGGCGGGACCCATGAGAGCTTCTCAGGTAGGAGGCATCATTTGAGGTGGCTACAGGAGTGTCTGAAGTAACTCTTTAAGCTGTCTATTTTTGGTGGTTTTCTAATGATTTTTTTAAAATTTCTCTTTAAATAGGCCTGCATGTGTCCTCCTTTCATGTATTTGAAAAAGTAACGTTTGTGTCCTGGTTGCTGCTTTCAGAGCACACCTTGCAGAGCTGAGCCTCATGAGGCAGCTTTGTCAGTAGCTCGAAAAAGTGACCCGTAGCCCTGGGCCTGCAGAGCAAAGGGCTATATCACCTTTTTTCCCCTCTGCAGATCGGCTGCAACGCCGTTAGCTGGGCCCCTGCTGTTGTACCCGGAAGCCTCATAGACCAGCCATCAGGGCAGAAACCCAACTACATCAAGAAGTTTGCTTCTGGCGGCTGTGACAACCTCATCAAACTATGGAAGTAAGTGGGCTGTGCAGATTCTTCAAGGGAAGCCTTTTGCCCTCTGCCTGCCACAACTGAAAAAAGGAAGGTCACCATCCTCCTCCTTACCAATAAGACTATTTATGATCTGCAAGGTCGTGCTTTAGAACAATAAAAGGCCTGCCCTTTTTTCCATCACTCATGTTGTTCACCTCATCCCCAGCTTTTGGAGCTGGGGAGAAAAAGAGTGCTTTCCCACGGGTTTCCACAGCTGGGTTGACTGCATGAAATAGCAAGGTGGCACTTGCGTCCCGGCCCAGCCGATGTGTGGGGAGAGGCAGCATGGGCCTCTGGTTCTCCCTCTGGTTCCTTCCAGGGAGGATGAGGATGGCCAGTGGAAGGAGGACCAGAAGCTGGAGGGACACAGTGACTGGGTTCGAGATGTAGCCTGGGCCCCCTCCATCGGCCTGCCCACCAGCACCATCGCCAGCTGCTCCCAGGTCAGCACAGCCTCACCAGTGCACACATCCTGTTGTTGATGAGTCCTGTCAGCCTCCAGATGGGTGAGACAGTCTTGGGAGGGAGAAGCAGCAGGCGTGGGGACCAGCATGGCAACGAAGGGATCACGAGGGCAGGTCCTCATACAGTGAGGGCTTGTTTGAAGCTGCAGTGGCTGTCCCTGACCTTGGCATGAGTAGGGGTGAGACCCATCTTCCCAGGCAGGCCATGCAGAGCAGCTTCCGGCTGGGCCTCTCATTCCATACTGCACCAAATAGCTTTCTCTGCCATTAGAATCTCTTTTTTGGTCTGAGACTTTTAGGGTGTTTCTTTTACTTGTCTCCTTCTGTTTTCTGAGGTTGGCTTTTAGAAAGCTGTAGGAGTCAGATGAGAACGGAAACAGGCAGGAGCAGAACCCCAAGGAAATGAAGTTAGCAGTTGTGAATCTGTAGCTGAGACTATGGCGAGTGAAGGCCTCTGGTACCTAGGACAGGGACTGAAGTGAGGCTGCTGGGCCGGATGTGGGCCCTGAGAGCTGCTGGTTTCTTGGCCTGGACTCACCCACCCTGCTCACTGAAGATGCAAGGCTCCAAAGGGGAGGGTTCTGCCCCATCCTGACCCCGGCCTGTCTTCCAGGATGGCCGAGTGTTCATCTGGACCTGTGAGGATACCTCAGGCAACATGTGGTCACCTAAGTTGTTGCACAAGTTCAACGATGTGGTATGGCATGTGAGCTGGTCCATCACTGCCAACATCCTCGCCGTCTCAGGCGGAGACAACAAGGTACGGCCCACCTGCAGCTGCCAGCACAGTGGTGGCAAACCTGTGGCAATGCACCTCAGCTAGCATGCACAGCCCTTCCTGTCCCCTCAGCGGCTGAGCACCACAGTTCTTTTTTCTAAGCTAAAGCCCCACTTTAATTTCAGAGTTAGCACTTGGAATAAGCGAGTGCGTCTTGAGTGACAGGGTGGGTACTTGTCTCTACAAGGTTCATCATCACTGGGCTAGTGGGCCAGGCTTGTTGCTCTGCCCTGTTCTCTAGGCCTGCAGTCAGTACAGAGCCCTTCCGAGGACTGTTTGGAGCACATTTCTACATCACAGCACTCTGCACCCAGGAAGAAGCTGACGGGGCAGTGTGACCCAGAGAGGGTCCGGCAGCCCATCACTCTAGTCATCAGGCTGCTGCTTCTCTATGGGGATGTTTAATTCTGTAAAAAAAAAAAAAAAAAAAAAAAAGCAAATGTATAGATAAGAAAATATCTGAACAAAAGTGAGACCATTGAGGGTTTTGTCCAAAACGTTTAAGAGGCACATTTATAAAAAATGAGTTCTGGGGGCTGGAGGTTTAGCTCAGCGGCATAAGCGCTTGCCTTGGAAGCAGGCAGTCGTGAGTTCAATCCCCGGTACCGATAAAAAGGAAAAAGACACACACACACACACAAAATGAGTTCTGTGCATACCTAGGCACATCCCAGCACTTGGCAGCCTGAAGCAGGAGAGTCACTAGGAGCTGAGGCCAGCATAGCAATACCGGGTCTCAAAAAAAAAATCAGTACACCAGTGTTTCTATGCACCTAAAATGTGCTGCAAGGTACATGGAAAGGGTAAGACACAAGCATGGCAAACGGTGATGGGACAGGACAGAAGCAGTGCACCCAGGGGTCCCAGGTTCCCAAGGGAACACCAGCAGGTCAACCCCAGATCAGTGCCCAGCGCAGGCAGCTTCCCCTTTGCAGACAGCTTTTTTCCTTTTAGTTTTGTTTTGTTTTGTTTTGTTTGCAGTACTGAGAATTGAGTCGAGTGCCTTCACTGTTGTATCTCCAGCCCTTTGGTTTGTTGGTTTGTTTTTTATTTTTTCAGCAATGGGATTAAACCTAGGCCTTCACACTGGGCTACATCTTTAGGCCTTTCTTTTTATTTTCTGAGAGTCTCACTGGGTCTCTTAAGTTGCCCAGACTAGGCCCTAACCTGCAGTCTTCCTGCCTCAGCCTCCCAGAGTGTAGGATTACAGGTGTGTGCAGCCACACCCATATAGGGTTTTTTTTTTTTTTTTTTCATTGTAAAAATACGCGAAAGATTTATCACTTAAAATACAGTTCTCTAGTTGTGCACTTGGTATGTAGAAAGCTGTTTGTCACACTGAAACCACACCCATGAAGTAGCTCTCCACTCGCTGAAGCCCCAGTCTGTGTTCTGCCTCAGCAGCTCTGAACAGGGACCTCAGAGCAGTAGAGTCACCACCCAGAATGTGTCCTTTAGTGCTGTGTCCCATTGCACATAGCACAGTGTCCTCAAGATCCACTCATCAGAGTTCCCTTCCCTTGTCTTCAGAATTAAGGACAGCCCAGGCACTCTCTGCACCAAGCCTCCCCCTACACTTTTGAGATGGGGTCTCACCAAGCTGCCCCGGCTGAACAACTTGTGATCTTCCCGCCTCAGCCTCCCCTTCAGTGCTGGGATTGCAGGTGTGCACCACCACACCTGGCTGTTCTTGTTTAAAGATGAGTTATACACAGTTTGTTTGTCAATCTATCCACTGGCAGATACATGAGTCATTTCCACCAACCCAAGCTCTGAGCAGTGCTGCTGTGGACAAGTGTGCAGCTAGTGGGGTCTCTGAGAGAACCTCTACATGCAGCTTTCCTGCCCCAGGGCCCTCCCATCTGCAGTGCACCCAGAAGATCAAGCCGTCCCTACTGCAGGGCCAAAAATGTCCTGCAAAGGACAGTCCGTCCCCTTCTCCACTTCCAGACCATGCCTGAGGCAGGTCCAGAGCTGAGGTTTATAGCACCCCATAGAGCACTGGAGACTAGAACCTGAACCTTGCACTTACCAGACAGGCACTCTTCTTTTAGACAGTCTCTCTGTGTATTTTAAGCTGGCCTTGAGCTCACTCTGTAGCCCAGGCTGGCCTCAAACTCAGTGATCCTCCTGCCTCAGTCTTGTAAGTACTGGGATTACAGGTGTGCACCACCATACCCAACAGTTAATTTGTAAATGTTTACTTGTCCATGTTTTGTGGTGTCTAATGCATTATAAGGAATTGGGTCATGTATGTAACACATCTTAATTCTTTCTCTGTCCCCTTTCCCCAACTCCCTCCCTGCATCCTCCATCTCCTGGCTCCCTTCCCATTTGCACAAGATCTGTCTCCTACCAGTATTTTAATGAGATTTCAGTGAATGTACGTGCTATTTTCCCACAAGCTTTTGAGCAGTTTTGTTTGGTTGGTTGTTTTGTTATACACACCCCAGACAGCACTGGAGACTGGAACCCTGGGCCTTTGCACTAAGCTACATCCCCAGGCTTTTTTTAATTTTGGACAAAGTCTTGCAAAATTGTCGAGGGTGGGCTCAAATTTTGATCCTCCTGCCTCATTCTCCTGTGCTAGGATTGCAGCCGGCATGCTGGGCTGTGAGCAGGATAGCACAGGGGAGAAAGGAGCCAGGTGGCCAAGAGAGACATGCTGAGGCCTGTGGGTGCTGATTGCAGGTGACCCTATGGAAGGAGTCACTTGACGGCCAGTGGGTGTGCATCAGTGACGTCAACAAGGGCCAGGGCTCCGTGTCAGCTTCCGCCACCGAGAGCCAGCAGAACGAGCAGTGACAGCAGCTGGGATGCGCAGCCCGGGACAGCCACTCACAGCTGGGAGAAGCATGGCCCTGGGAGGTGGTCTCCTGGAACAGAAGCAGCGACAGCAACAGCTCTTCTGCCCGGCCTGACTCAGTACAGCTCACAGTGTGTATCCACTTCATGAAGAAGAGACTGAGTTGACTTCAGATTGATTCCTGTAAAATATTTGGTGGCATTTGTAATGTAACTTTGGGTTCAGGTATTATTCAGGGAAGTTGTTTCCAAATAAAATCCTACTACTCATCTTCATTACTGTTTATCCCGGCACCGTATGGGGCCACGCCTGGCGCTCTGCAGTACAGGCTGCAGCCAGGCGGCTGGGCTGCACTTTTCCACAGAGGGGACAGCCATGTGCACAGATGGTACAAGGTTACATGGTGCAAGCCACGAAGGGAGGCTGTGCAAGACCCATCACAGAACCCTGTGCCGTGCACAGGCCCAGCTGGCTGGGGAGAGCGTGGCACTCGGCGTGCAGAACGTTCCCTGCCTGGGGAAGGGCAGCACTGGGACCCACCACCCTGTGCCAGCTCTTGGGCTCTGCCACAGCACGGGGTGTGGGGCCCACAGCAGAGTCAGGCCACACACTGCACAGCCAGGAAACCACCCAGGGGGCGCGCTGCCAGCGCTGTTGTTTTCCACAGCAAAAAATGTGTTTTGAAAACAAATTTTGGCTGGAATATAACAGCACCTGTCTGGCAAGTGTGGGGTTAATGAGTTCAATTCCAAGTATCAAAAAGAAAATATTTAGCGCCTCTGAAATAAGTCTGACCATAATGTTAACACAGAAGTATTAGGTTTTTCTTTGGCATAGTAGAGAAGCAAGAGCAGAAAAAGAGTTTTGAAAAAGGCCTTTATTGTAGGCAGGGGTGGGCCACAGAAGAGTACAAGTCCCCCTAAAGCAGACAGAAGCTGTGGACCATTACTCAGTTCCACAGGGTGGAGTTGAAGGGGTGGACATAGTGACAGCTGATGGGGGAAATGTTGGCATGCCCCTGAAAAACAGGAAATTCAATTCAGTTTGGAAGAAGAACACAGAAGTCAACACTGGAAGGGACACGCTGCCACTCCAGGGTCCAGCATCATGTGGGACAGGCATCATGCAAAGTGTCACATGGGCAGAACCCATCAAGAAAGTGAACTGGGGCCATAGGTCTGCAGAGGAGGAGCTGGGCAGATCTGGGGTGCCCTCACTGGCCTCTCTGCGTGTCTGGAGGACTCTGGATATCTGCGCCCAGACTGCTGGAGTTCCCTCAGGCTTCCAGGTGCAGTGAAGGAGAGAGGTGGGTTTGAGGCTTCCACATCAGCCTCCCCATTCCCGGCTTCACTTGGAGACCTGCTGAGCTCCCGATAGGTGGGCTGGCCCACACTACCAGCCTAGCCCAGCCTGTTTAGCTGCCGTGCCTGGCCATAGGCCTGCAGAGGAGGAGCTGGGCAGATCTGGGGTGCCCTCACCGGCCTCTCTGCATGTCTGGAGGACTCTGGATATCTGCACCCAGACTGCTGGAGTTCCCTCAGGCTTCCAGGTGCAGTGAAGGGGAGAGGTGGGTTTGAGGCTTCCACATCAGCCTCCCCATTCCGGCTTCATTTGGAGACCTGCTAAGCTCCTGATAGGTGGGCTGGCCCACACTACCAGCCTAGCCCAGCCTGTTTAGCTGCCGCGCCTGGCCACTGGTCTGCAGAGGAGGAGCTGGGCAGATTTGGGGTGCCTGCATCGGCCTCTCCATGTGTCTGGAGGACTGTGGATATCTCTGCAACCAGGGAGGGTCCACAGGTTCCTGAAGCACTGCGGCCTGTGGTGAGTACCCTAACCCGGCTGCGATTGAAGAACTGTGGAGCTTCCAAGGGGCAGGTGGGCGCACAGTGTCCCTGAGGCCCAGCTTGTCTGGAACTGCGGAGTTCTGAACAGGCAGAGGAGGGCCACTGGTTCTGTAGGCCTAATGGCTTGGGGTAGCGCGGCGCCAGAGTCTCAGTAGCTCCAAACATAGAAGGGGATTTTCAACAGATCCTGAGGAAGCTTTCAAATAACACTTGAAACACAGAAATATAGGAAAATGACAAAACGAAAGACCAAATTACAACCTCAAACCTCCAGCCCATCTCAAGAAACCCTAGGAGCGATGTATATAGAAGAAAATATATCCCATCCACCTCATATATCGGACACAATAGCCACTGAAATTGACAAGCAACTCCAGGAAGCTTTAAAGAAATTCAAACTCGAAATAATCTCCCAGATAAAAGAAGAAATGATAAAAGAAATGAAAGAGATTCTAAATATATCTAAAGAAAACACAGATAAAAAATTGGAGGAACTAAACAAAAAGATAGAATCCCTAGACGAGCAATATAAGAAACAAACAGAATACATAATGCAGATGCACAGAGATATACAGGAAATAAAAAACTCCACCGAAAGTTGTAAAAACCGCCTTAATGAAAATGAAGATAGAATTTCAGACCTTGAAGACAGGATTGCAGCTAGTGAACAGGAAAGGAAAGATCTTTTGAAAATAACAAGGAACCAGGAAACAACAATTCAACAACTGCAAGACGATGCAAAGAAGAATAACATAAGAATGATAGGGATTAATGAAAGAGAGGGAGACAACATTAAGGATGTCAGGAGGATATTTAGAGAAGTAATAGCTGAAAATTTCCCAAGCATGAGATCAGAAACTGACATCAGGATCAGTGAAGCATATAGAACTCCAAACAGTCATAACCAAAATAAAACTACACCCAGACATATAATAATCACCATCCCAGAAATCCAACACAAGAATAGATTATTAAAAGCTGTCAAAGAGAAAAGACAAATCACTTATAAAGGAAAACGTATCAGAATCACAGCAGACTTCTCAGCACAAACGATAAAGTCAAGAAGAGCATGGAGTGAAGTATTCCAGATCCTAAAGCAAAATGATTTCCAACCAAGACTGATATATCCTGCAAAACTATCATTCAAAATAGATGGTGCAATACGATACTTCCATGACAAAGAACAGCTGAAGAACTTCATGAACACCAAACCAACCCTGCAAAAAATATTGAAAGACAGTTTAGATACACAAAGGAAAAAACCACTAAGCAAAGCAAATAATTAAACAGAACCGAAAGATAAAGATGCAACAGCAGAGAGATAACATTCCTACAATTAACCAGCATTTAACAGTAATAACCATTAATGTAAATGGTCTCAATGCACCAATCAAAAGAAACAGACTAGCAGAATGGATCAAGAAACAAAATCCAACCATATGCTGTTTACAGGAAACCCATCTAACCCAGAAAGATACTCACAGACTGAAAGTCAAAGGATGGAAAACAATTCTTCATGCAGCAGGAATCCAAAAAAAGGCAGGAGTAGCCATTCTGTTTGCAGACAACGTGAACTTTAAACCAACAATGACCATAAAGGACAAAGAAGGTCACTACATACTCGTAAGGGGAAAACTCCAAGAGGAAGAGATAACTATCTTAAATATATACGCACCAAACTCCAGAGCACCCAGTTATATAAAACAATTATTAACAGAAATGAAAACTCAAATTATCAGTAACACAATTGTAACAGGAGACCTTAATACACCACTGACACCAAGGGACAGATCAACCAGACAGAAAATGAGCAAAGAAATAACAGAACTGAATCACACCTGCGAACAAATGGGTTTGATAGACATATACAGAATGTTCCACCCAACAACATCAGAATACACATTCTTCTCAGCAGTACATGGATCATTTTCTAAAATAGACCATATATTAGCTCACAGAACATATTTAAGCAAATGCAAAAGAGTTGAAATCATCCCTTGCATATTATCGGATCATAGCGCTCTGAAATTAGAAATTAATGGCAAAGGATACTGCAAAAATTCCGCAAACACATGGAAACTAAATAACACACTCTTGAGTAATCAGTGGGTCACAGAAGAAATTAAACAATACCTAAAAGAAAATGAAAATGCAGATACAACTTACCGGAATCTGTGGGATGCAATGAAAGCCATTCTGAGAGGAAAATTTATTGCACTGAGTTCCCACATCAGGAAAACAGAACGAATACAAATAAATAACTTGATGCTACACCTCAAACAGCTAGAAAAAGAAGAGCAAGTCAAGCCCAAAGCCAAAAGAAGAGAGGAAATTATAAAAATCAGAGCAGAAATCAATGCAATAGAGACTAAGAAAACAATCCAAAGAATCAACGAATCAAAGAGTTGGTTCTTTGAAAGAATAAATAAAATCGATAAGCCCCTAGCCAACCTTATTAAAAAAAGGAAAGAAAAAGCTCAAATTCATGCAATAAGAAATGAAAAAGGAGAAATCACTACAGACCCAATAGAAATACAGAGGATCATCAACACCTATTTCGAAAACCTCTACTCTCAAAAGTTTGATAACACAGAAGAAATAGACAGATTCTTAGAAGCATATGAAGTACCAAAGCTAGATCAAGAGGATATAAAACTGTTGAATAACCCAATCTCTGCTAATGAAATTGAGAATGTAATTGGGTCCTTGCCCACCAAGAAGAGCCCAGACCCAGATGGATTCACTGCAGAATTCTACAAGAAATATAAAGAAGACCTAATGCCGACACTCCTCAAACTATTCAATGAAATTGAAAGGGAAGCAATCCTTCCTAAGTCATTCCTGGAAGCAAATATTACTCTAGTACCAAAACCTGAGAAAGACCCAACTATAAAAGAGAACTATAGACCGATCTCCCTAATGAACACAGATGCAAAAATCCTCAATAAAATATTGGCAAATAGGATCCAGCAAATCATCAAGAAGATTATACACCATGACCAAGTGGGATTCATCCCAGGAATGCAAGGATGGTTCAACATATGCAAATCAATAAATGTAATCCACCATATCAATAAAGCCAAAAATAAGAATCACATGATCATCTCTATAGATGCAGAAAAAGCCTTCGATAAGGTCCAACACTTATTCATGATAAGAACTTTACAGAAAATTGGAATAAATGGTCTTTACCTCAATATAATAAAGGCCATTTATGACAAACCAACAGCCAGCATCATACTAAATGGCCAAAAATTGAAAGCCTTTACTTTAAAATCGGGTACAAGACAAGGATGTCCTTTATCACCACTCCTATTTAATATAGTACTGGAAGTACTAGCCAGAGCAATTAGGCAAGAAAGAGAAATAAAAGGGGTAAAGATAGGAAAAGAAGAAGTTAAATTATCATTGTTTGCAGATGACAT